ATACACGTTTTTGTGTGGAGGGAAATTTGTGAATATACATATATCCAGACGCCATTTGTGGCATTTCGGAAAGCGTCGTATTGTGTAGGTACCCACGTGGCCGAAATACGTTTAATACAAGGTGCTTGATAACACTTCATTTTTAAATATACCACAGTATAAAATATACGGCAACTAATAATTTACGCTACAGTCTTCCAAAACATCATAAACAATAATTTTGAAGTGTCTATACCTACTTAGATAACTCGTCTGTTCAAATCGTGTTCCATTAGAAATGGTTTTCACCTTCGAAACGTATGATTCTATTTCATTACGTAGAATTCCCTTATTATTTTATTTTATAACGTATTTCCCCTCCCATTTTGTCCTAGCGAATATAACGTCGTTGCCAAACTAAATACAGACTGAATTTATGTATACCTAATGTTTGATTCCTGAAAGAAATTCGTTGATCATTAACCTAATGAATAGTGGCTTTACGCGCAGTGCAGCTGGTCGAAGTGACCCTTTGGCGAGAACAAATTCAGTAGGAGTGATCGTATGATATTTCAATAGTACTCTGCGCTTATATTGGGGCACACGATAGTGCTGCCCGTAGCAATATTTAGCAATAAACAATTGTATGTAAAGTCTATTTATAAATTTTACAAATCTATACAACATTTTTGTATGTCATAAAGTCATGTAACGGAACGTGATGAAAGTAATCCTTTTTTTTTAAATCATGTTTTGAATATAAACCGTATTCGTTATTTAGGCGGTCGGTACATTCCACTAGAAAAAAGTCTTAATGCCTAAAAAGTCTTAATGCAAAAATTCCACGATTGATTTCCACATTATAAAATGTAAAGGATTTGAAATCCGAACACCGTTTTGGTGTGAGTTAACACTTTTTGTACCATCACGTAGGTTTTGGGTACACTTTATGACTTTATATGAAATTTAATATTTTTATATTGAATATATATAATTATACATGGATATGTCAACATGTATAATTGTGATGGGTACGAGTAAAGGCTACTAAAACGCAACTGTTTAATTCTATTTTGGCACGTCAAGAGTATCATCAGAACCAAAGTATACAAATCATTAAAATCGAATAAGAGTAGGAAAATATTTATACAACTCAGGGACTGAAGATTAGTTAAATGTTTGATATATAAATTGTATTTTATCTGGCGAGTAAGCTCTTTATTCAAAACCTGTGCACAGGTTGAAGCAATGCAATACAGGTACTGGGACTAGCTAAAGAGACAGGTTTTGAATGAACACTGTAGTTTTTGAAGAAATAAGTAGTAGACTCATATTTTGTTTATTGGTTTAATTCAGAAAAGGCTGAATTTATACTATTTTCCGTAAACGATTTACTTTTGTAACGTACGTAAATTAGCTCGAAGCTATTCGTCACTTTTAATAATTCCCTATTTGAAAAACGTAGACAAGTCCGTTGAATCACGACGAAGCGGGATATAAACATGCACATATTTATTTCGGATTTAACAAACCGCCCGACTGTACCTACTGTGCGATCGCGTTACTTCCTAAAGGAGCTCACGTCACAGGCGAACGAAAAGTGAGATTTTAATTAGTGTTAACGAGTTAAACGTATTAAACTTCAATACTCCGTAGATCAGTATTATACTTGTGTAATTTCTGATCAAGCCAAATTTATTGAACTGATCATGAAACCGCCTTTAATACTTGTAAAAATTAAACCGCGAAGTGCAAAGTAGTATCGTGTGTTGTGTGGTACTTAGGTTATTTAAAAGAGAATGTAACTAACCACATTTACTGTGGCTTCCTAATAAAGCAGTCTTCCGATAGGTATCGCCGCTAAAGTTTCGCATTTAAAATAATTTGTTGATCAACACGTTTCTGTAAAAAGTGCACCTAAAATATGTTGTGTAGGCGAATGTAATGTCCATGTAATATTTTTAGTTTAAAAAAAACTCGTTTCATTCCTTAACTTCCCGTATTTGAGAAATAAATATTTAGGTTTATTATTTTTTCCCCAATTACATTGAGATGTAGTAATATCTACGTGGCACGATTCTGTAGTTATTAGCACGGTGAAAAGCGAATGTATGTAAGCGGTACATTATTTTTCTAATGCTTTCCTTCCATTTGAAGCAATAATTGGTTTGACGGTAGTGCCTTCAGCTTTTTCATAATTACGATAAAATAAACTACATGGCAGATGCGTGTCACTGTGCTTAATAAACAGTATTTTTACAGGTAGTAGAAAACTTACCGTATTCAAAGATTTAGGAATATGATAAAGATTTTTCTTAATATATTTTGTAATAAGATCTGAAACGAGATAATGTGGCTGTCTAATCGTTGCATTTTTCACATGGTATGTATAAAAAATAACTCGGACGTAATGTAGTTGTTCCTAGATATATTTCACATCAATCTTTTTGAGACCATCCTTCCTTGTTCATTGATAGGCAACCTATTCAAAAGTCAGGCACCGTTCAAGTCCTTGACGACAGTACTGGAAATAAATTAGGAGCGAGCACAAAAAATTCACATAATAAATCTTAAACATCAAGATTACTTATCATCTGCTAAAATCATGCCGATGAACACAATCGAAGTGGTTATGTAATTTCTTAACATAAGTCGCGTATATTTAAGTGAAGGTTTGAATAGTTTGAAAAAGTGAAATTTGAAGCTTTCGGTGCGCGATTGACTTGATGGTTTAGTTCGTAATTTAGGTTTAATTGAATTAGAATACATTAGCGTAAACGAACGCTGAGATAGAATAGAGAAGTAGATTTAATATATTTGAGAGCGGGTGCGGGCGGGCGCGCTTCCTGCCGACTCTAGGATAGTTTCCTTTCTTAGTTTATTAAATAATTTAATTTGTATGGACTGAAGTCAGCACGAGGCTCATCCGTGCTCCATCTGCTCTAGTTCATAAGGAAAAACTAAGTAAAATTAATGAACACATTCTTCGAAGTAAGTTTCAGTTGAACAATTCTGCTTTCACCTCTTTTGTTATGTAGTTATTTAAGATAAACAATAAAATAAAACAAAAAAAAACCTACAAGAAAAAAAATCTGTCAAGTGTCGATACGAATGTATTTGTCCAGTGTGTATTAAAATAGAGTGGTGTTCTACCCAGCAGACTAGTCTAGACAAGTAGCATAGTTTAGATAAAATTTAGTTAGGTAGCCTAGAAATACGAATGCAAAAATAAAAACTTGATAAAATATAAAAAAAAAGAGATGAAATTTGTTAGTAAGAAAGAATATTTTTAAGGGACATGTTGCTTCGTTGTGTTATGATGTGAGGTTTGGCATAACTATGGTAATAGTGTAAACCGTTTCTCTCAGAGAAAAGACAAAAGGGAAAGTTATGTATCTATTTTGTTACGAAGTGTTTGTATGTTTCTATATTGTGCTATGAGCATTTTATGTGACCCGTATTATTTATAGTTATGCTGAATGGAAACTAAAGTAATATATAAAATAAATGAAAATGGTACTAAGAAGCATGTTTTATTGTGACGAGTCATGTTCCTTTGCATTGAACATATTTTGTAAGAGCAAATGATTGAAATAAAACAAGCGAAACCAAAGGCAGTTCGTTATTTTTATGTACTAATCCCAATAATATTTTCTATANGTGACCCGTATTATTTATAGTTATGCTGAATGGAAACTAAAGTAATATATAAAATAAATGAAAATGGTACTAAGAAGCATGTTTTATTGTGACGAGTCATGTTCCTTTGCATTGAACATATTTTGTAAGAGCAAATGATTGAAATAAAACAAGCGAAACCAAAGGCAGTTCGTTATTTTTATGTACTAATCCCAATAATCTTTCCTATAATTCCTCTAAAACTTAAGTATAATGACAAGATTAATGAGAAGACGCAATTACGAAAAAATACCGTTCACAATTTGGGCTATTCACCGTCATGAATAACCCAAATGATTTTCATCAGGATTATAAGAATCATACACAAGTAAACCAGAATCCCAAAGATGCTAAATACGCCCGGGACTCATCCTGGACGCCGTAATAAATAAACATTTTTTTATTGCCCATGTAGGCAGACGAGCATATGGCCCACCTGATGGTGAGTAGTTACCGTTGCCCATGGACTTCAGCAATACCAGGGGCAGAGCCAAGCCGCTGCCTACCGTTAAGTACTCTCCACAAGCTTCATTTGAAGAAGGATATGTCATAGCACTCGGGAAACACCGTGGAGGGGAGCTCATTCCAAAGCCAGATGGTACGTGGCAAAAAAGATCTCTGGAATTGCACTGTGGACGAACGTAGTGGCTCCAGGTAGTATGGATGAACTCTACTCCAGTGGCGGGCGGTGCGATGGTAAAAACGAGTTGATGGTATCATCTCAAACAATTCCTCAGAGCACTCCACATGAAACATACGGTACAAACTACAGCGGAAACCGAAGTCCCTCCGCAGACCCAGATATCGTAATCAATAACTACATATCCCAACGAGGCGATCATCAACCAAGTTTGAACTTCTACAGCTACCTTTACATCCTCCATCCATATTAGTTAATTTTATTCACTCTACCGCTTAATGACACTGGTCTTTTTTTATTTATTGCTCAGGTCGGTGGACGAGCTCACGGTCCACCTGGTGTTAAGTAGTAACCGGAGCCCATAGACATCTACAATGTAAATACCGCCACCTACCTTGAGATATAAGTTCTAAGGTCTCAGTATAGTTACAACGGCTGCCCCACCCACCCTTCATAACGAAACGCATTACTGCTTCAGGGCAGAAATAGGTAGAGTGGTGGTACCTAAGCGTGCGGACTCACAAGAGGTCCTGCCACTTCGTGTTACCAAAAATTTATACGTTATTCGTATATTAAAAAAAAAAAAAACACCAGTTACATTAAAACTTACTAGACAAATTCCGAGCATTTGTGTAGAGAATTAATTGTTTAGTGGCACTGAAATTGGATCAAGTTCATAAAAAAAAAATGTTTATATTTATAATTTTGTATTTCAAATTATTATGAACACATTATACAACGTTCGAATCAATAACGATGAATCGATTGTTTTGAATGTCGTCTTTAAGTTTTCTTTGTAACTCGAAAGACAAATTCACGCGTTTCCGACAGCGTGTTTAGCTTTGAATATCCTGAGGGTGTTGTCGCTGGAGCCGCTGATTAACAGGGAGGGATTCGACCAATCGCAGCAGAGAACTTTATCTTCGTGTCCGCTAAGGTCATAAAGTGGAGTTCGTGGACTGTAAAAAGATTTTAATGAATTATAACCTAATTGTAATAGCCGATTTAACCTAATAGGTATATGGCTCTTATAAAGAATGAAAAAAAAAACAATTGTATTTTATTTATCATTTAATAGGATAAGAATTGTGTTATGGACCCGCACAAGAAGGCAGGTTAAGTTCGAATAATTTTCTTTCATTTTTTTTTATTGCTTAGATGGATGGACGATCTCACAGCCCACCTGGTGTTAAGTGGTTACTGGAGCCCCCCATATCTACAACATAAATACGCCACCCACCTTGAGATATAAGTTCTAAGATCTCAGTATAGTTACAACGGCTGCCCTACCCTTCAGACCGAAACGCGTTACTACTTCACGGCAGAAATAGGCAGGGCAGTGGTACCTACCCGTGCGGACTCACAAGAGATCCTACCACCAGTAACGCATGTATTTTATTGTAATACAATAGTAGCGAGTGGCTCATTCAGACTGCACGTCTCTACATACGTCGATAAAATGAATAGTAACTGAAAACTGTTTAACACTAGGAAAACCACGAGATTTTTCCCTGTTGGCTCCTAAAAAAAGCTAACATTCCAAAAATATTAACTTTAAATGAAAAGCAGTCTATAAACAAAGGTTCTCCAATGTATTTTTATGTATTAATAATTTTCATTAAGACACAATTAATTTACCTTCTTGTTTCCCAAAGTTTAACCTGGTTGTCGTATCCAGCAGAAAGGAAAAGAGTGTCTTTTGTTTTAGACCAGCGAACTGACTGGACCCATCCTGTGTGTGATGTGAATGTTGTCTTCACAATACTCTCTGAAAATAATGACACCAATAAATAATTTAGTCACTAAAAATAGACAACTATAAGGTTTTCTTATTGGCATTAACGGGCAAACCAGCTGGAAGATCTATCGAACAATGAGACTGTTCTGGTGTTCAAAATACCATTTTTCTATACAAATACATACTAAACACAAATCAATATCATTGACTTCAGCTTCTTTTTAACATTTTTTAAATATTTTGATCTGTCTAGACATTGTTATGTTGTACTTTGGGAGGTGTTAAAGGAAAGCGTCTTCTTGCGTGTATTCCATGTTTAATTATCATCTTAATCCTAGTTTAGAATTATGAAGAAGCCTATGTTTCTGGGTGGTCCACCTTATTAGGTGGACATACGAGATTACACCTATTAATTATGTTATATGCTAATACTATGCTATGCTATAATATATCAATATACACACTTCAACATATTACTGTAGTTTTTAGAAGAAAAAAATCATAGCCTTTGTGTGAGGTTTCATAGGCAGAGTATGCATGACTGAAGAATAACATTGGATCATTAAAAATATATATATTTCCGTAATTACATGGAAGATCCAAGGACAATATGAAGAAATATACACATTTTGTACACAAGTAGAGACATACTATAAGAACCAGTAATATTCTTTAATTTACTATTAGCTAAAATTAAATTCCGAAAATAATAATTCATAATTTACCTGTAGATCTAGGGTCATATAACCGGACATGTCTATCTGCTGATGCAGTAATAATGCTGTTGTTCAGAGGTGACCAATCAACATCAAAAAAGGCCTTATTACCTAGAAAGTTAAATGTAAATATTGTTTGAATACCAATTAGAGAAAAGGACACATAATTTGCAAGACTGCATTTCTTTGGCATTACAAATACGAATTACACAATTAAATTCAGTCAATAAACAAGTTTTAATAATAATAATAAAACTTTTATGCCACCAAAATTGATTGACCTATGCCTACATTAGCTTGAAGGCCTGTTGACCCAGCTACATCTAAATCATTTGTGAGAAGTATTTTGTTTTTAATTTCTATATCATTTAAAGCAAAGATTTAATGAATTTCAGAAATGCTTTTCAAGTTTTATGGCAAATTTAACATACCAGCAATTTCTTGTTTAATACCACCCAAATCACAGTCCCAAATTTTCAATAAGTGGTCCCAACCACTGGACAGTACTGTGTTGTAATCCATCCATTGAACACCCGAGATAGCCTCCTTGTGTCCTTTTAAAGTGGTCAGTGGATTCTATAAATTTAATAAGTAAAATTGGAATCATATTCATTCATTATCCAAGCAACATTTGACTTCTTTGTTTAAAAAAATCAAACTGTTTTACCAATTTAGTTTTTTTAATCTGCACAACTTTTAACTAGTCAATTGAAAAAATCAGTCCTGTAATACATATTATACACAAGTATAAGTGTTATAGGACTGCTTCATTCAATTCATACTCACTCTAGTAGTGCCGTGTTCTGGTTTACTTTTCTTTGTAGCTGGATGGTTTTCTTCTTCTGCTAAGCCTAAATTGGGTATACATATTTTATTTATTATGTAGATTCAAAAAAACTAATTTAAAAATAACAACTAAACAAATGTAATACATATTTGATTGATTCTGGAGGACCACATAGCTGTTTTTCCACTTGTCATCTTAAAGGAGACCTAGGACCTTAAAGGAGGGTAGGTACCACCACCCTGCCTATTTCTGCCGTGAAGCGGAAAGGGGTTTCGGTTTGAAGGGCTGGACAGCCGTTGTAACTATACTGAGACCTTAGAACTTGTATCTCAAGATAGGTGGCGCATTTACGCTGTAGATGTCTATGGGGTCCAGTACCACTTAACACCAGGTAGACTGTGAACTTGTCCACCCATCTAAGCAATAAAAAAAAAATTAAAAAAACCTTTAATATAGCTGTAGTAAAGTACTAAAAATTTATGCAGGACAGTGGCACTTATTAGTGTTGGCTCACAACAAATTATCAGTTTTTCAAGTTATCAATTCCCATATAAAAATACTTGTTTCAAAGATTGCAACTATACTAGGGCTTAAATCAATTAAAATTGCCTTCCAAAAGTCCTTTCACTTAAATTATTATTGAGTATCTACTCACTTGCACTCCAAAGACAAATGTTGTTATCCCAGCTCCCACTTGCAAAACGGTTACCATCAGCCGACACAGACAGACACTCAATTCCCTTGTCGTGACCACGGTAAGTGATCATACAGTCAACAGAATTTCTAGATACATTCCATACCCAGAGTATTGCTGTTTGATCATGAGATCCACTGAAATCATACATCCTTCTGTATACATCTTCAGGATTTAATTATTTTTGTCATTCTATTTATGTTAAATTATCTATTTAAATTTTTTCAGATCATAACTGCTATGCTATATCTGAGTCGACTATTATCAAAGCCGGCAATCTGACTTTTGGACAATTATTGGTAAATCAGAAAAACGAATTATTGACTTTGTATTCCATTGGCAGTCACAAAACTCTTCGGAACGACATCTTAGATAAATAACAGGTTAAGTATTAACCTTTATTTAAGGCAGGTTTTGAACCGTATTCTTTGAAGGAGACGATTATATTCAAACCAATCTGTATTGACATATCAATAACATTTTTTTGTCCAAATGCACAGATTGCCACCTTTGATAATAGACGACTCATCTGTAGTATGAATTTTTAATATACTAACTAAATAATGCTGAGATACATTTAAAAATTTGTCAATGTGACAGGTTTTTATATCAAATATTTTTATTAAATTACTATCTATTCAATTTCTCACCTAACAAATGTAGCTTGATCGCCCTGGAAGGAAACCCATGATACTGCTTTTACTGGTGATGTATGACCTGGTATGGCTAGTTTGTGTTGTCCTTTTGTGCTCCATATATGTAAGCTATTGTCATAACTTCCTGATAGAATCCTGGATGAAATGAGATTTGTTATTTTACACGTTATTTTGTAAGATTTTACATTAAACTTTTATAACTTAAATAATTTGATTTTATCCAAATTCGTTTTCATCTTACCAACTACTGTGTGCCTGAACAGCTGACACCCAATCATCGTGCATTAAACAGTCCTGTGGAGTTGGTGCAGGGAACCTTTCCAAGTATTCGACCTCAAGCGTGTCCTCTGTCGATACTCCTTTTTCTTGTAAGTGCTCTGCGAGGGAGGCACAAAGTAACTCTCCACATACTAAGAAATCAAATATTACCGCCTTCTCGAACGATGGTGATGTCTCCTTCAAAATTGCGTTTATTAAGGTATTAAGGTCCGCAGGGTGTACGTTACACTGGATAGCGTAAGGACTATCCGGAACTGCATATCTGCATAAAATATAGGCGGTTTAGAGCGAACTACTTTATTGGACCACATGTCAAAACAAGTGCAAAACTTACTGTTCTTGTTTAGTTATAAATCTAACTTGCAATTGAGCTTCTAAAGCATCGCCAGACATTTTGTACTTCAATATTTTAAGTTGTGTTAAAGTTTGGTATTGATATAAATGAAGACTACACAACCTGAAATGACCTGAATCTAAACTAATAACACGCCGGAATCTCATTNTACTTTATTGGACCACATGTCAAAACAAGTGCAAAACTTACTGTTCTTGTTTAGTTATAAATCTAACTTGCAATTGAGCTTCTAAAGCATCGCCAGACATTTTGTACTTCAATATTTTAAGTTGTGTTAAAGTTTGGTATTGATATAAATGAAGACTACACAACCTGAAATGACCTGAATCTAAACTAATAACACGCCGGAATCTCATTGACAGTTTTCACCAAACCTGACATCTGACAGTAGTAGTTCCACTTTTCCAAGTAAAAAGGCGAAGGTATCCTAAATTTTTAATGTTACATCCTAATCTTTTGTATGTTGTATATTTTATTCTCTTTCATGAAAAATGATATGGAGTGAAATGAAGTGAAGTTGATTAATTTGAGATATTAATCAACTGAGATAAAATTAAATGAAATGATATGATATGGGATGAAATATAATCTCAGTAAAATGGTGGTTATTTACTGAGATTTTTTCAGTGGACTTTTTGGAAGATCCCGAGAAGCTACGTCCAGCAGCTTTGTTTCATTTTCCCCCATTTGTGCACTTCCACAGATCCTGCACAATGAATAAACCACACAATGAACAATAATAATAATAAATTATAACACATTTAAACCTAAAGAAACACTAACTAGACAAAATAAAACAATACAAACAGCTTCGCTCCTCGCGTTCTCCCCAAAAAGTCAATGACATCTGACAATTGTCTGGATAAGCAGTAGTAGTTCCATTTTTGCACCTGAAAAAGCGAAACGATCACACCATTCAAACGAATCATTTGTTTATTGTGTTTTAGGAAAATGATTTGGTGCAAAAATTTAGATATTAATCACTTGGGCTGAAATTAAATGAAGCAAGTTAATGTGGAATAAAATATAATCTCATTAAAATGTTGGTTATTTACAGAAACTTTTTCAGTGGACTTGTTGGAAGATTCCGAAAGGCTACATCCAACGGCTCTGTTTCGTTTTCCTACATTTATGCACTTTCACAGATTCTTAATAGCTTATAAACCTTCGTCATTACTCATTTCAACCTGAAGAATCATTAAATTAACAGCTGAATCATGGGTCAAACACAGAACACTCATAAGTTTTGAGCTTGATATAGGTACACTCTCTTAAATAAATTCTCAGGTAACGAATAACGAATGCCCAATTTTGACAAGTTCTTCAAAATTACTTCCTACAACAGATGTAGTGGTAACCACAACAAAAGTAGTAGTAGACTAGCTATTCACCTTAATTTTAAAGGAGTTAAATTTTCCCAATAATTATTCTTTTGCCACAATAATTCTCTTTTTTAAAAAAATAAGATTGAGGTTATGTCAGGCTCCATCAAAGATAGATGTTCTATTTGTTTATTTTGTTTACATTGCATTGAAATGAATTTAATATAAATATTTCACAAAATGGTCGTTAAAGTAGATACAGCCAATAAGCTAAAATATTGCCTTAAAAGAAAAGCGGGTAGAAGTATTATAGAAAGACGCCCAATATTTTCTCCGGACGGCGAGTAAGTAAAACAACACATTTATATCCACGATGTTAAAATGTTAACAGAGAATTCAAAATCTTAATATTAATGAATAGATTAAATGAATTGTCCATAATATTCAAACAATTATGTTATTACAATTTAGAATGCTCTAAATATATAAGTATAATTTTTTTAACCTATGAGAACAGTATGTTTTAATCTGCATAGATCAAAGCTGCGCGTTCTAAAGAAATAGCATTCAATTGGCGGCTTATTTATGTTATAGATCAGTGGCAGTAATAGTAGAAGATATAGTGCACGTATACAATGTACAAACATGCGAACTAGTCAGGACCTTAGAATCTGAAACTCCCATTGATGGGTTTGTTGGAATAGAATTTCCCCAAAATGAAGATTACAATTTATATGGTTGCTCTAAATCTGGACTGGTCACAATATGGACGTGGGACAAAGGAGCAGTTCTCAGAGATACTGTAAGTAGAATTGTTACAGCTCTGGTAAAATAAAAATAAGTTTTCTGTGCAGCGTCAGTCTAGAATATGACTACTCCAACTCTTTCCATTAGTATTGTAAAAAGTAATTAGTGATTGGTAATCACCAACTGGAATTTACTGATGGTTTAGAAAATGTAAGCCTGTACCTACTTAAAGGAATCTGCATATGCTCCGCCTAGTTGTCAATGGCTACCATCACTCATGGACATCTGCAATGCCAGGGGCATAGTCAAGCTGAGCAACCTACCATTGAGTACTCACCGCAAACCATGAAGAATAAGAAGGAGAAACCATTTAAAGAAAGCCATGCTTAAGAAGTACTGTGGAGAGAAGTACATTCTAAAGCTGGTCGGTCCATGGCAAGATGCCATAGTTCTAGGTAGTGTGTAGGTGGGTGGAGGCATTTATATTGTTAATGTCAATAAGCTTCAGTAACTACTTAACACCAGGTGGCTGTGAGCTTCCCCATACATCTATGCAAAAAAAAAGCATGATGGGATCAGACATTCCTCATCTCAGATAACTTGTTTATAAATTAATAACAATTAATATAAGTGCTAAAGAATAAACAAGTTTTTCATAAACATTTAAGTTTATATTTTTATTATAAATTTAACTTTCAGCATCTTCAAATACCTGCAAATTTAATAGTACTGACATTTGATTTAATAAATGAAAATGAATGTTTTATAACTGGAGCTGGTGGTTCATACTCAAAAAACATACACTATGCATCATATTCAATAAAAACTGGTGAATTACTTTGTGAATACGGAACTCGGATATGGAATACTCAACCTTTGATAAAGGTTGCTCTCGGTTGGAACAACGATGACAGATTTGCTGCAATCTGTAATGGAACAAAATCATTGTACATTCAAAGCATTTACAATCAGAATACATCTGCAATGTAAGTTACATAAATATTGACTGGCTATGAGAGACAATACATCTCTCAATTTTTTTGAGAGTTTAGATGTACAAGACTAACATTTGAACTCTTTTTGCAATCATTACCCTAATACTCTCTAGTAAGAATATGGTGACAATGGAATAGGTACAAATGTAGCAGGATCATTAAAAATGCCAATACCGACACNAATCAGAATACATCTGCAATGTAAGTTACATAAATATTGACTGGCTATGAGAGACAATACATCTCTCAATTTTTTTGAGAGTTTAGATGTACAAGACTAACATTTGAACTCTTTTTGCAATCATTACCCTAATACTCTCTAGTAAGAATATGGTGACAATGGAATAGGTACAAATGTAGCAGGATCATTAAAAATGCCAATACCGACACGACCTATGACAGCTGCACCCATTTGCAAAGCTCACCCTGCACCATAGGTAAAGCCCCCTTTGTCTTTGAAAATGCTGATGTTAATGCTGTTTCTTGAAGGCTGGCATACCTGTATCTGATCTGTCAATGATGATGACTAGTTTCATTAATAATTATAATTGATTATCAAAAATGAACAAGCACTAGAAAATGATATTATAATTAAGTATACCACTGTAGTTTTGTGCATAAAGCTTAATGAATAATTTAATGGTGTAACCCTTTATTTACTATCCAAAATCCATTTTCAGCACTAATACAAATATATGATTTGTATCATCTATTTAACATTTTGAATAATCTCCAAAAGTAGGTCACAAAAATATTGTCTTTTTTCAGTTTCTACAATTTCTCAGAATATCGAATAGTGTCTGTAGCTTGTCACAAAAGTATCAATACATTAGCAGTAACAGACACTCTTGGCCGAGCCACAGTCATCAGAGGAAATTTATATGACATTAGGAATGCAGCAAAAGAAGTGTTTCATTGGCATTGCCTGCCACCTATGGCTTTGTGTTTCTCAATGCAAGGTTTGGATATTTTCAAATACAAAAATGTGTAATTTATATCATGATAAATTTGAATTTAAAAGCAAAACGTTATATCTTGATATAATCAAATTCAAAAGGAAACTTGTCTAGGTAATTATTTATACTCTGGAGGTGTGGAATCGGTGCTCGTGAAGTGGACCTTGGGTAGCTTGGCATACAAAGCTGCAGAGAAGTCATTCCTTCCTCGCCTTCCTGGATTGGTGCGGTATATAACAACAAACAACACACATATTGCAATCACCCTCACAAACAACTGTGAGTATTTATTCACTTTTGTTAGCCTATACCAAACTGAGGCTAATGTGTCATTGTATTTTTTTTTAACGAAAAAAAACCTTTTATAATTATTTTTCTTACAATGCCTCAACGAAATCCGTCATCCTTAATTACAAGGTTATGCTGGCATGTGGAAAATCTATTTCAACATAATCATATCAAAGAAGGCACTCGGGACGAATTTCATAGTATGTTAAGAACTTTAATAATTGAAGGTCAACAAGAAAGCAGGCAGTAAAAATTATATGAAAAATGATTAAATAAATAAATAATTATTATAATATTTTTTTTCCAGCAATAGTGATAGCGAATGCACAAATGCATGCTGTTGGCACAATAGCTGAGTGTGGTGGTGTTTCGCCCACTGCGCGCACTCTCGAACCTGTCCTTATCTACCAGCACAAGCTTGGAGCTCTACTAATGCACGGACCGACCGGTCACTTGCAATTGTATTCTACAACCTCCAACAAAGTTTTATATAATGTAAGTAACATAGGTTCACCCATTTTATAAATACAAATGAGCCAATCTTTTGTAAAAAAAAATTTGTATAGATGCCTAGAGAAATCTACAACCGACCTGGCTTTAGAACTACCTAGCGCCAGGTCCTCATGCGCCGTAACACTTGAGCTTGAAGTCTCTAATGTATTTTTGACTGAACAATGCTATTCCTTTATCAGTGAATACTTCCTAGGTACATGTATAAGCTCAATATGAATACACATTTTACCAATTAGGCACCAAACATTTTTAGAAACGCCTAACGTAAGCACAATTTTGAGAACAAGAGACTTCCTTCACACATTTAGTTATACAATAATGTGACATGACTAGGTATGATGCTGCACATCTGTGTTAATTTTTAATTTAAAACATTAATACCACCACTCACACATTAATATGGGAAACGAGATCTTAACTACCTATTCTATAATGATTTATTTTGATTGGTCAAGACCACTGGACAATCTACAACAATAATTTGAATGTTTTCACTGAAACTGACTTGTAGGTCTGGATAAAATACTGGCTATAAATTTCTAAATTAGTAGAAAAGTGATAAAAAACCCATTACTAACCACATCACAAATAGTTTATCTTTTAGTCAGTTCATGTTTCAAAAGCCTGTATGGGCAATGCTCTGTGGCCCTGTGCTGGTAGATGTTGTTCATTTTTAATTGTGTACATTATAAGTATAAGTTTGTTTTTAATGATTCGATTAAACGTAATTTTTATAGTGTTATCAAATTAGGAATCGCTAGTACTGCTGTCTTTTTTTCCCGGGAACAGCATGAACCGCATCTAATGCATTAAAAAAAAATTTTTTTTAGATTGACATCACTGGTCAAAATCGGATACAACCTGAGAGGTGGAACCTTATGCCTTTACAAACCGAAATTACATGTGCATCCCTAAGCCCCAACGGGCAATGGTTAGTCACATCGGAATATCGAAATGACGGTTTTATGTACCCAGAAGAACGGCTAAAATTCTGGACGATAAATCAGAATAACAAACAAAAATCACCGTTCTTGATGAACACCTGCATAAACCTGTCCCACGGCGGCTGTCGGGTTGTTGCTCTGGCGTTCAGTTATGATGGAAAATTGTGCGTGTCATCCGGATTGGATCAAAAATTTAGAGTTTGGGAATTTGACTGTTCGAATAACAAGAGGGGCATTTGGGTGTGTTTGACAGCGTGTTACTATTCATCGGGCGTGGCTCAGTACTTGTCCCAAGGTATATTGAACAATTTTAAAATCGGTCACTCCGAGCCCAGCGATGATTTCACTCAATTCCCCTACATGAAGGAAATGAGAAAAGATGACCCGGTAAAAAAGCTGGCAAACTTTCACAACGAATACACTATAACGGACGACAGGATGAGCGCTGGCTCGTGCAGTAACAGCGAAAACGAAATGAGCGGATTGGCTATGTCAAGAGATGGGTCGTTAATAGCCGCGTGGTTCGGTTGTAAGCTTACACTCTGGGACACATATCTGTGCACTTTAAGGACGAGTCTGTCTCATCCCGCTTTGAGGCCGAAAGGCGTCGACGTTAAATTCGGGAACAACGACGCTGCACATTACGTAAGTATAATAATTACTAATATCATGATAACTAAAGATTTTATAAACACATCATCGATGATACACGAGAGAGTCAGTCCACGATTGACTTCCACGGTGAAGGAATAAATAACATCGTGTAATAAAAATCAAACCCGCAAAATTATAATTTGCGTAATTACTGGTGTTAAGACCTCTTGTGAATCCGCACGAGTAGATACCCCACCACCTTGCCTATTTCTACCGTGAAGCAGTACCTAATGCGTTTCGGTTTGAAGTGTGGGATAGCCGTTGTAACTATGCTGAGAACTTAGAACTTGTATCTCAAGGTGGGTGGCGCATTTACGTTGTAGATGTCTATGGGCTCCAGTAACCACTTAACATCAGGTGGGATGTGAAATCGTTCACCCATCTAAGCAATAAAAAAGATGTCGTTTGCGTTTGCGAATGCTGCCACGCTTGCTTGCTACGACACTGAATTGAAGAAATTGTAGCTTATTCGAAGATGTCTCATATTGCACAGAAGATGACATGGTTGTAGTAATAACTAGACAGCTTGTTAGTGCCAATGTCGCATGCAATACGTTCTATAACCATTAGAATTGGAATATAACTAACTGGTACAATTTTTGCGGGTTTTACTTGCACATATATCATGATATTATTTATTTATTTCATGAAAGACCAACAGCTTAGATTAACATAACAGATTAACAAATATGAAACAGATTATTAAATAAAGATATATAATTAGAAAAATTGGTGCCCCTTTGCGGGATTTGAACACCGGAACAGGTGCTTCGTTTAATGAGAGTATACCTGTCGTCTTAACCTTTAGGCCACGATAACTCGTTATAATTATCAGTCAGTTTCCGACCGATATCAACGGCGGATCCAGGGGGGGGTCATGGGGGTCATGACCCCCCCCCCCCCCGAGCTAGTTCCAGGACTTGAACTAACTTGGACTAATTGAAGAACATCATGATTTATTTATTATCTATCGACTATGTGACCCCCTCCTGGCGCCAAAGCTGGATCCGCCCTTGACCGATATAAGTAAAAAGATAGTTTGTGAAATATACGTAGATAATTGACCACAAAATTCATTTGGCAATTGGCTTTTTATGGGAACGTAATTCAAAATAGCCTGGTATAAAATTATTATAATAACTATTATTGCAGTTGGTGTGCACAACGGAATCTTGCTTGGCCGTCTGGAGTTTGTTATCTTTGACCGTTAAATGGTTAGTTCAATTGAACCCCATGGCTCTGTGCAGTGATTTACTGTCGAACAAAATGGCCGTTGTTACTTCGAATAATGATAGTAAGTAAAACTTTAGACATTATAGCGATAACGACGAAGGAAAACTGAGGTGGAAGCTATCGTATACCACAAGATATTTAACAGATGCCTAAATGGTGCTAATCGTACATTTTCATGAAAAACTCACATATTATATATATAAAAATTCCGAACAATAATATTCAGAGCGTATATCTACCGAGCAACATCACCAGCTCAATTCCTTATATAAAAGTTCCCAACTTTTGGTCTCATGTCAGAATATCGAAATGTTACGGAAGCTCATACCAAACAGAATGAATACGTGAATGCTCCCACTCGAGACACGCAGTTAAAATCTATTAGAATTACATTTACCATTCATTTACAGAGTAAGCTTGTATTTTTCAAACTATTCATTTGTCTAATACAATTTAATATTCTAATCAGTTCAAAAATTACATTTTTAACAGTGCTTCATCATTTTCGTTTCAGTACACATATTTACTCCTCACAGTTCCAAGCCTCTGATGTCACAGCAACGCGTCTCGGATCCGAATTTAGGAGTGTTCAAAAAATGCGCCTTCGGAGCGTCGACGAAAGACGGTGTTACGTTATATTTGCTGAGAAATGATGTTGTAAGTAAAACATATTATATTCTGTACGTCAGGCCATATGAAAAGAGACTTTAATGTTTTTTTTAACCTATATTTTAGTAGAAACTATTGAGTCTCTATAGCGGGCAAGGATTAATAAGAAACGTGTTCAGTTAAGTGACTAACGTATATTGGGATTACAACCTAACGTGCTATTGACAGCCCGACAATCCCGAGACTAGCGTAGCATCATTGCAATATAATTACCGCTAACACATACATATAATTATTAGTTGCTATGGGGACATTTGTGGTCCCTACAAAACCATACATTTTGTTATTATTACTTATAGTCCATGTGAGTAACTTAAAAACCGAACATATTAGTATCTGACTATTTATTACAATACTTTTTTGAGTCTTACCCAAGTGCCTGCTGCAAAGACTATTGACTAGCAGTCCCTCGATCTTGATCGATGTGATGTTCAGAAGACTGTTGCCACTCTTCTTAATGACATGTGGTATACGTGGTCTCTATAAACGATTAAAAAATAGTATTTATTGAATAAATTATATGTAATTAGAGCTCAATCTTCAAGTACTAAAATGTATAGTAAATATTAGGTTGTATGAGAAAAATATTCAATAGTTTCCTATTTAGCAGGGTAGTCTCATCTGATGATTGAAAAAACGATTACACTAATTAAGCTAAGAATAACTATGTGTACATAGGTCTATACCTATGTATCTATATTTGGAACAGGCCGAGAATAGCATCGCCTCACTTTCTAAAAGTCTCGTATAATGTTTTTTTTATTACATAAATAGGTGGACGAGCTCACAGCCCACCGGGTGTTAAGTGTTTACCGGAGCCCATATACATCTACAACGTAAATGCGTCACCCACCTTGAGATATAAGTTCTAAGGTCTCAAATTTAGTTACAACGGCTGCCCCACCCTTCAAACCGAAAGGCATTACTGCTTCACGGCAGAAATAGGCAGGGTGGTGGTACCCACCCGCGCGGACTCACAAGATGTCCTACAACCAGTATTTTTTTTTATTAATATTAATGATTCCATTGCACCGAATTTTATATTTTCGCATTCGATCAGTAGCGCTGGGTTCTCTTCGAATTAAGAACGTTTTAAATCGTTAGGCTTTGTTTCAACAGGAGGTCTTCAGTTTCGAACCGGAGAAAACAAAAGAGGGACGCCTTGAATCGATCCCGCACAGCAACGCGCCCGTCTCCAAGTTCAGTACGCTGCTGGCCGAACAACAACTGTCGGCAGTCCGTAGAGGCGCACCGGTCGACACGCTGGCGTCAGACGTGGACGCTACGAGCAGTGCGGCCATCTCGAACGTATGTATCCATCTAGTAATCGACGGTCCGAAACTCGTCTGCTATAGTAGCCCATGAACACGTCATTGCGGATCCTCCCGATTCATTAACGGTGCTTTTAGGTACCACAAACACCGGTCGCCGTCCTCGTCGAACCCGACACATCCCACTGAGTCTCTCGCCGGATCTTCTCAGTGGGTCGCGTTTCCGATCCGGCGATAGATTCTGCGAAGCACGGCTCTTGCTAGGGTTTGTGTTAGCAACGTCGTCAGGTTTGAGCCCTGTGAGCTCACCTATTAGTTAGGGTTACGCTGAAATGGCCTCTCAAGGCCATCAGCTTAGGTATTAAAAAAAAAGCCCGTAACATACACTCAGTACAACAAAAGCTCCTTATTCGCGCTTCTTTCATTCATGTTTTCACTATTCGCGGTTTAAAAAAAATGCGATCCAATTCCTATATTCGCGGCTAAAGATTTCTTTATTCTCAGATCTAATCAGTACATCGGTACATGCACATTGATAAAAATGATTCCATTAAGTAGATCTCCAATCGAATATATTATTATTATGTACTTTGTAAACGCGCTTTTCCATATTCACGATTTCTGTCTTCGCGGCATATTTACGGAACATATACCCCGCGAATAAGCAGCTTTTACTGTATAACAAAGCTCCGACCGAACAAAACCAAAGCGAACTTGTGTGGTAGTCATGATTATAAGACATCACATCAAGACTGGCGAACATTTTGGATGAGTCAAATTTTGTACATAACTTTTATAGTACTAGCTCGTGGATTCGCTTAGTTATAAATAGGGAAAAAATAGGTATGTCTCTAGTTAGAATAGTTTTCCTTTGTTCATGCTACGCATTTCGTACATATAAAGAGGCTATAGTATATTTACTGGTTTTCGTGAGTCATAGGCATAATTCAAACTTCATTTACACAGACGACAGTGACCACTGAAGCTGTAAAGTATTTGGAACGTCGAAAATATAATGACAACAAAAAACGCCATATTAAAAATAGTTGTAAATAGGTTGTAGTCAAAGCTTTCATAAAAAAAACCTACCCAATCTAGAACCTACGACCTTCAACCTACCATGGACTTCCCGCGCTCTTAAGCGTGTTGATAATATAAGCAGTGTAGTTAATATTAAATTGCCTACTGTAATGAATTTAATTTATTATGTACATTAGAACCACGTGATAGATAAACATTAAGATCTTTTCCATTACACAGGTTTGTACTACCTATTTGCACTGTGATAATGTTACAGATCTAAAGTACCGTCTGCATGTTCATTATTAGTTCGTTTAATTCTACTAATTTTTTTTTGTTGTTTTGGATGTGGTTGGTTTGAAGAACACACGGTCAACCCAAATTCCAGGGGTTAACGATCTCTATAGATTTAATAAACATGAATGTGTGACTACCCATTTGCGGGATATTAGTTCGAAGTCTTAAATGTGTTTTAGTAACAACTCTATTTTCCTTCGCACCGGAATGCATTATTGGTTCGTTGCACAAACAAACAAACAAAATGCTGGTAGAAATATCTGCGAGCTCACATTACTAAAGCCAATAATGGTGATAAGACGAAAAAATAATTGGAATTTCCTCGCAGATATCGATGGCGCCGCCATATATGACACCTCCAGTAAGTCTCCTCTGTACAACATTTTTACAAGAACTAGCTGGCCAAGAAGAGCCCAAAGATGACGAATTCACAGACCTCGAGGAGAAAATGAACGTAGATCAGTCTAGCGATGAAGAAGATGATGTAATAAAATTAAACGGCCCCTATGCACCAAGAGCAACCGAACTCTGGACACCGAATTACGAAGCCGTCAAAGCAAAGAAACTTAACAGAATACTTGAAGATCCGTTCATAGACTTGCACGCGACGAGTTCGTTATTTGGAATTTGATTATGTGTATTCAATTTTAAGTAAATTTTAAATAAATATTCTGAATTTGCGATCACTTTATTACTGATATCCTTAGTCTGCTACTAATAATGTCCAAATAACTAGTGGCTTTCGTGCTATCCTTCGGTTTAATAAACTGTGGACGATGTCCAATATTAAATTTCAAGATATACCTATTCTTTTTATAACGTTTATGATATGTCACGGTATGTTGTCACATAATATATTTCTTTGTATGTGTTTTAACATAATTATTTCACTAACCACTTAAATCGCCTATATCAATAGACGACTCATACCAATCACCATTTGACACCAAACAATTTGTTATCCGCGTAAAAAAAATTATTTCGTTATTACATTTTTTTTTTTTATTGCTTTTGATGTGTGGACGAGCTTACAGCCCACCTGGTGTTAAGTGGTTACTGGAGCCCATAGACATCTACAGCGTAAATGCGCCACACACCTTGAGATATAAGTTCTAAGGTCTCAGTATAGTTACAACGGTTGCCCCACCCTTCAAACCGAAACGCAATACTGCTTCACGGCAGAAATAGGCGGGGCGGTGGTNTTTTTTTTTTTTATTGCTTTTGATGTGTGGACGAGCTTACAGCCCACCTGGTGTTAAGTGGTTACTGGAGCCCATAGACATCTACAGCGTAAATGCGCCACACACCTTGAGATATAAGTTCTAAGGTCTCAGTATAGTTACAACGGTTGCCCCACCCTTCAAACCGAAACGCAATACTGCTTCACGGCAGAAATAGGCGGGGCGGTGGTACCTACCCGTGCGGACTCACAAGTCCTACCACCAGTAATTACGCAAATTATAATTTTGCGGGTTTGATTTACATACATACCTTACCTATTCTAATTTTGCATCTAAACAAACATCAAACAATCAAAATTACTTTAAGATAATGTAATGAAGTAGCTCGAAGCAACGTTATTTTATATATTTCCATAAAGTTGTCAAGATAGTAATTCTGAAATATTTGTTGTGATAATAATTTTAACAATGGAATTACTGAATAAAGAAGAAATATTGTCAATAGCAAAAATATGTGGATTTAATAACGTCATAAGTTGGTGCATTGAAGAGTTTCCTAATAAAGTCATCGGATACCTTGGAGATCATCTTAAACTTGTTATTCAAGTCGAATCAAAAGGAATCCGGACTAATTTAAACCTGTTTATAAAATGCATGCCGAGGCTGGACAAGTGGAAAGCTCAGTATTTAAAAGAGCTGAACTTCTTCAAAAAAGAGTATGTTATGCTCAGTAAATTATTCAAAGATTTTCGGAGCATTGAAGGTAATATGAAATCCCTTCCAAAATGCCTAGCCTCGAATTATTACCTATATGTAAATTTATAAGAAGCGTTGTATAATTTGTTATCATTATTTTAGCTTCCCGTAAGTGGCGCCCTAAGCTACTCTTCATAAAAGAGGATATATTCGTTTTTGAAAATATCACAACAATTGGATATTCCATGCCAGACCACAAGGAGACCATGCCATTAGAAATGTTAAGAGCCGCTGTTAAAAGTTTAGCTAGATTCCACGCTGAATCATATATTTACGAGGAAAATAAATCTAAAGAACTCGGAAGACCCTACAGAATTTGGGAAGACTATAGCGAGTACCTACAAGAACCTGAACAAGGAATGGCCTGGCGGAATACTGGCAGAAACGGTGTTATTGATTTCTTAAAAGTGTTTTCAAGGTTTAAAGCCGAATCAAATTTTTCTCGACATTTAGATTTCATCATACCAATGCTATATGATGGAGCATTAGCTCTAATGAAACCCAGCTCTGAATACAGGAACGTAGTGGCACATCGTGATCTGTGGACGAACAATATACTGTTAAAAAAATGTGAAGATTCTTATCATGCTGTTTTAGTTGACTTTCAAACAGTCTTGTATTGTTCTCCGATGCTGGACTTGTCATCTCTCATATTCTTTAACACGACCAGAAGTGACAGATACAATTATACAGACGAACTCATCGATCTTTATTATGACACGATATCGGAAGAATTACTCATAGAAGATATTCAAATCAATGAAATCATGGACAAAGATACCTTGATAAAGGCGTACAATGATAGCATTATGTTTGGAATTACCCAAGCTGCATTAATAGTTCCAATAGTATCGATGACCGAAGAGAAGAGAAAACAAATATTCTATGACCCTGAAAATTGTAAAAAAGCGAATGTCGTTTCTCGTGGTGAATACTTTATTGAAATCGCCAAAGAAGATGCATCTTATCGAAAAAGGGTACTAGAATTATTCGATGAAATTATTGAAAGATACATATATCCACATGAAAGCAGCCAACATAGACCCGATAAACATTAACAAAATCATATATTACTGAGCAGAGATGATTTAAAGACTTGACTTTTATCATAAACTGCGAATATATCGAAATTTGAGATTCATGGTTTCCTACATGTAAATAATTTTTTATTTGTTTTAGGTTTAATATATCTTATTTACTCTTATAATCTTAGTTAATGTTAATATTGTGCCATAGAGCGGTGACTATAATTTGAGGTGCGTGTCTAATTATCTGCAATTAATAATTTTGTATTCGTTAAGGAACATACATTGTTCTTCAGTTGTGGATTCTCAGTCAAAGCCAATCTGCGATAACGGCATTTGTGTATCAGATGCGGACGTCAAATCTATTGTATCAAACTATCTGGATCTAGAAAACGACTGTGCTATAAGTAACTATTCTATTTATAAAGCAAGTGATCAAATGCTAGGGTATATAGCTGACTACTGGAAATTGAAATGTCACTTGACTGATGAAAGAGTGCTTTCCTTTTTCATCAAAGCTATATCGAGATGCAACCCGGCAAAAGCGAATATGATAAAGGAAATGAAACTCTTCGATAAAGAATTATCCTTCTATTCTCTCATCCGGAAAAATATGATGGTTGCCGGTAAGATTAGTTCAAAATGTATAATCTCTCGGATATGGGCCTTAAGTAAATTGTGACGTAATAATTATTGTTGCAGGTCTCAAGCCGTTTAGCAGTAGGCTAATTGCTACTTTAGACGATGCAATGGTATTTGAAGACTTAAACGCTCTTGGCTATAAAGTTAAGAATAAATTCGATAAATTTGATTTAGATCACACTTTACAATCCCTGAATACTTTAGCGAGATTTCATGCGTCTTCAATAATTTTTGAAGAGCGAAGAAGCATTGAACTGCAGCGCAATTATTCAATGAATGAGGATTTTAATCAATTTTTTGATGAAGCTGGCTACCGAGAGTCGAATGTTTGGTTTCAACAATGCATGAATGGANTTAAGAATAAATTCGATAAATTTGATTTAGATCACACTTTACAATCCCTGAATACTTTAGCGAGATTTCATGCGTCTTCAATAATTTTTGAAGAGCGAAGAAGCATTGAACTGCAGCGCAATTATTCAATGAATGAGGATTTTAATCAATTTTTTGATGAAGCTGGCTACCGAGAGTCGAATGTTTGGTTTCAACAATGCATGAATGGAGCGCTTGAAACTGTCCATTCATATTCTAAGTATAATAAAGAAGAGTTGGAGCTAATTGATGCGCGTTGGAGTCAGGTTTGGCTGTCAGACTTAAATCTAAGCTCGTGCTCTTCAGTTTATAGGAATGTTTTGTGCCACCGTGATTTATGGAACAATAATATAATGTTTCTTTACGAAGACAGAACTGGTAATCCAACAGACTGTTTATTTGTAGATTTTCAGGCCATACGCTACCAGCCGCCTGCTAGTGATGTTATGCTTTTATTGTGTTGCAATCTGGACAAAAAGTATAGAGAAGCAAATTTAAGTACTTTTCTCAATTATTACTATACTGAATTACAGCTATGCTTAGAAATATCCAATTTGAATATTATTAATAGTTTCACAAAAGAGGAACTATTTTTATCGGCCCAAGAACAAAGGAAATTCGGGTTAATCGTTTCCGCTTGTATAATTCCCCAAATATGGTTAGATGACGAATTTACGACAAAAACGTTCAGTGACCCAAATCAATTTAAAAAAATTCTTACTATTGACAAGGGAAAATTCATCAAAAAGAACATGGAACACAATTTAAACTACAGAAAAACTGTTATGGAAATATTCGAAGAGATATGTGATAGATACTGTTTGTAAATTCCATAAAAAAAGAATAATACTATAATGGCTTTTAATATTTGACTAGACTTCGAGAGGATTATAAATGATTACTATTAAAAGCCGCACTAATTTTATTGTTTTGCACTTTGCAAGTCCAGCTACAGCTCCGTGGGGTTTGCGGGATCCCTCAACATCGAATTAGGAACCGACGAGGGGCCCTATGAACTTATGAAATGACCATATTCTCGCTTTGTGTATTGTTTTAACGGGCCAATGTTAATAAAAACTACGTGGACAGAAAATTATTTCGTATTTTATATTTTTATTGTGTCAACTAAACTTAAGGCATTTTTTCTGTGCGATACAAAGAATTAAGTTTGACCCATAGTGTGTTGAGTATCATAAATGTTTAAGCTCGCTTTGACTAATATATACATAAACCAAAAATAGTAACATTCTTTGAATAGCGCACCCAAGAAAGCTGGGATCTGCTAGTGATGATATGAGTAATAGAAACTTCAAGTTGCCTACAAAGACGTGTCTCAAGACACCTAGTCTCTTTGCTGTTCAAAATAAGTTTGAATGTCAATAAATTGTGAAAAAATTTTAGAGGCTCTGCTAGACGGCTATTGATGCGAATCACTTATACGCTTTAAATTAAATGTTAGAAGGCAACAGCTACGAGAAGTATGTAGCAAAAATCGGAGAATCTCCGAAAACAATATTGAAAAATATAAAACCTATAAATTAAGGAACAAATCATACAAGTAAATCATTGTTCGAAATTATAGTTTTTTTAACATATAGTTAGGTTATGCTAAAAAAGAATATTCCGCAAATCCTAGGTCATCATAAATGAGACATCGCTAAAGGCTTCGTCAAACAGAACGCGTACTTAGCGCGCGTAAACTAACGCCGCGCTATGACGCGCGCTAATTACGCGTTCTGTTTGACAAAGCCTTAAAGTATCGATATCAACACAGGTAGAAAATTATGGACAGTAGAAGGGAGGAGCATCATTTCAGTGTATTAAAAAGCGTCCGCTGAAAGGGAGTCAATTAAGGTGGCACCATAGTAGCAAGTGGAACGATTTAAAAACAACGCCTGTAACTGCTACACTTCGTTCTGTTTAAACTGCTATATTCATATCATTTCCACTTCCTAGCCCTATTTCAATGAATCTTTCAAGAATAACTTGCTGTTTACAGGTGGACATTTTTGCAACTTGTGCTTTATACAATACAGTACTCGCTAACGCTATCTGTCATAAAAAAAAAACATATAAAGTAGGTACAAGGAGATTAATCCTTGGGCCTTCGGTCTGCTCTCAACACCTTGCAGATCGTCAAGTAGTCAAGTCCCACATACCCCGTACGCTCCCTAGGCGCGGGGACCTCGTAGGAGGTTCGGCTCCGGCCCGAAAAAGAAAAGGTACAAGGAGATTACAACAAAAAAAAATTATCAATGCAATACTAAAACGGGACTATTAGAAACTAAGTAAAAAAGGATTATCGCGTCTTTTACGTTGTGACAACAGTACAAACAGTAGGTATATTTTTATGTTATTATGAGAGGACCCCACATTAGAACAAATTGATCGTCTTTACTAAAGTACGTACGCAGAGAACTATTCTAAACACTCAGACGCGTGAGTTCGTTACACGCCTTCGTAACTATTTCGATCGTGAATCTTAAAATGGAGGGCCAATTTGCTGACGTCCATGAGCGACGGTGACCACTTACTATCAGGTGGGCCGTATGCTCGTCTGCCTACAAAGGCAATAAAAAAAATAAAAAAAACCTAAAACGTCAGTGGTTGAACGTGTAGCTGATGCACTTAATATTGGACCACGAACTATTAGACGAATAACTAAAGAAAAATTTGGCGAGACTGGAACAGAAGAAAATAAACTTCATACAACAAAAGAGAGAAAACGAGCAAAACCAGTCGTAGGCATCGTTAGCTTTGATGCCGATGCCATTCTAAGATATGTGTACGGCTACTATTTACGAAAGGAGTACCCAACAAAAAAAAAGTTAGTGCAATCACTGAGGGAAGCTGATGGGGAAGTTCTTTAATGAAGATTTTAAAGACCGTTGGATTTCGATACAGATAATGTAACAAACGCAAAATCTTGATGGAGAGATTTGATATCGTGATGGCAAGATATACTTTTTTACGGCAAGTGAAAGAAATTGAAAATGTGCAAAATTGTGTGTTTTTGTATGAAACATGGCTTAATGCTAACCATACTGTAAGTCGTTTTTGGACCGATATCTATGCAAAATCTACGTCCACAGTTCCTGTTGGGAAAGGATCGCGACTTATAATTTGTCACGCCGGAACCATCAACGGGTTTGTCGGAGGTTCTCTCATGGCGTTTGCGTCAAAAACCACTGGAGACTATCATGAAGAAATGAACGGGGAAAGTGTACTGAATGATTTATTTCAATTTTGTGTAGCCTCCCTGTACCATCTATTATAATAATGGATAACGTCCCATATCACTCGATGTAAATTGACAAGCCACCTGCCCAATCCCAAAAGAAAGCTGACATCATCGCATGGCTTCATAAAAATGGCGCAGATGCAAACGTAGATATGTTAAAAGCGAATTACTTAGTACGTCTTTTAAAAGAAAGCAAACCAACCAAGATACGATACGTCATTGACGAAATAGCGTTAGAACATGGGCACAGAGTTATATGGTTACCACCTAACCATTGTGAATATAATGCAATTGAGTTGGTGTGGGCTCAAATTAAGGGATATGCTGCAAGACGCAATACAAAATCCCTATTGACCCCAACAAAAATGCTAAAAATATTAGACGAAGCTTGTAAGCATGTGACTAAAGGAGACTGGGAAAAGGTTGTGAATAGAACTGTTAAATTAATAAGGGAAGATTATGAATAATATTGTAGAAAACGAACTTCTAATTAATCCAAGTGATGACAATGTAAATAGTAGTAGGAACGAATCTGATTAAATTTAGCCTTTCGTGACACCTAACCATATAAAGTATGTATATTCATTTTAATTCCAATATTCAGATCGTTCAAATATATTAAGTAAGCATTTATATTTTTGTTTTATTAAACCTTTTTAATCAGGTACTACTTGCAATAAAAACTTATAGATTTCATTATATTTTTTTCGGGAATAAATTGTCATTTCACATCACTATTGTAATATGTCAAAACGACCATCATAGCGTGCCGATAGTGTAAGTAGTAATTCTATAATCTGTGCTGTTACACCGGTCACTCACATGCGCACGAATACGCAAACCCGCAAGTGTAGGACGACATTTGCAAATGACTATGCAAAGTTTTCGCTGCATTCGTGGTTTTCCAAGTTGTGTCGGTTTTTTAACAGACATCAAAGCGCGCGAACCTCTAACCTTCGCGTAGTCTCCCACACATTCGCTTGCCCAGTTGCGCCGACAATTGCAAAGGTAACGGACGTATCGCCATTTTCATAGTTCGTGACGTCTACTGTGTAGCGTATCTTCATCAAAAGAAATCCCATAAAAACAGCATGGCTGTTAATGATGTCTGGGAAAGAATTAAAAACTCTTTTTCTCTTCAATGTTCTATTGACGAATTAAAAAGGAGGAGAAATTCGTAAGACATTCGTAAACAAGTGTAGGAGGAAGCGCAAACGGGTTCGCGCGCTTTGATGTCTGTTAAAAAACCGACACAGCTTGGAAAATCACGAATGCAGCGAAAACTTTGCATAATCATTCGCAAATGTCGTCCTACACCTGCGGGTTTGCGTATTCGTGCGCATGTGAGTGACCGGTGTAATACTAACGGCTCAGTGACTTTTTTGGCGGGAACGCGAGGAGTGAAGTTGTGTGATTTGTTTTTATTTTGTCTATTTAGTGTTTCGCCAGCTTTAAATGTGTAATAACGGTGGTTTATTAACTGTTTAATATCTGTGAAAGTGCACAAATGTGGGAAAATGAAACAAAGCCGCTGGACGTAACTTCTCGGGATCCCCCAAAAAGTCCACTGAGACAGTCTTAGTAAATAACCATCATTTTACTGAGATTATATTTCATCCATATCATCTCGTTCGTCTCATCTCATTTCATTTTATGCCATGTTTAATAATATTAATCAACTTCATTACATTTCACTTCATATTATCATGTGCAGAGTTAATTACTACATTAATCAAATTACTTTCTCAACATCAATTATCTATACCGTACCACGCTGCTAATTTCATTCAAACTTACACTAATATTAATAATGGTTAACACGGACAGTTTCCTTCGTTTTTTATTATTCATAAACTGTAAATAATTAAAACGGCGAATTATAAAAATATTATTATTTGACACTGGCTAATACACAAAACGTGCCAGAACCAAAAAAAAACTAATAAATTAATGTGTGAACTAAATAGAAAGAGATGTGAGATACATAATACATATTACTTAGTGAGAAAAGATGACCTAAGTATTTGAAATAGGCACTAAAATTTATAAATAAACATAAATGAAAATACTTTTTACTTGCTTATTTCTTGTTATTTTTGCCAAATTTTTAGATAGCGCATTTTGATGTTTATATTAGCTACTTCAGAAATTGAATGTATTTGCTATGGAAGGTAACAAAATACAATTCTACTTTGAAGAAACAAGTTTAAACAGAATAAATCTTTTTAAAGAAGCTTTATCCAGTGCAGAAAACGGAAGAGTTCTTTATATTCTCCATGAAGAATTAAGTCAGCTACCCACATTATCACAAGATTTAAATTCAGTGAATAGACATTTCATGAAAATGATTAGTTTTCTTTATGTAGAAACTATTGAAGCACTTATAGACAGTGTTTCAACACTACCAGATTGGCAGAATGTGCCCTCAACAATTATTTTAGATGACTTAAGCAAGTTCTTCAGTAGAAACAACCAACAAAACATTTATGGGATTATTGCTCTGTTGATGGACAGTGTACGGATCTGTTCTGTTTCACTCGGAAAGCCANTGAAAATGATTAGTTTTCTTTATGTAGAAACTATTGAAGCACTTATAGACAGTGTTTCAACACTACCAGATTGGCAGAATGTGCCCTCAACAATTATTTTAGATGACTTAAGCAAGTTCTTCAGTAGAAACAACCAACAAAACATTTATGGGATTATTGCTCTGTTGATGGACAGTGTACGGATCTGTTCTGTTTCACTCGGAAAGCCATGTAATTTATTTGTTGCTGTAAGTAAAGAAGTTGTAGGCGATGATTTTTGTAAAATCTTAAAAGAATTATACTTTTGATTGAAGTTTAAAAACTAGTTAGCATAATTATTATAGGGAATACTTACTAATGATCACATATGAGCATCATTTTAAGTATTATACTTATTTGTTGCATAAGTAGGTGAGTGAGTTAAGTGGATACCTAAGCCTATAGATAACAATCAAAACTTAAATACCGCTGACTATCTTTAGAGCTAAGGTTAAAGGCTCAATTGTATTTTATTATGGCTGTCCTTCAAACAACATATGGTTACTTAGTGAAGGAAAAAATTAAATGTTGACACCTACCTGTGCAAGCTAGTACTTATCATTGAAACATATTGTAAAAGTTGTGGAATAAGTGAAATAAAATAAACATTTAATTTATACATATGTTTTATTTACATTTCAACATATACAAAATTTATTTCGAAACACTTATAATACACAGGAGTGATGGATGGGTAATGAAAATCATCTAAATTTTAAAATAATATACAACAAAAAGAACACAAAAATGGAGAAGAGGAATAGATAGAAAATATAATAGTTGTGGTTCCCTTTGCCAAGCCTTAAAACTCTTCCCATGGTTTTTCCAAGGAAACCTGAGCTTCTGTCAACATCATCATCTAATCCACGCAAAAGTTTTTCTTGGTCCCTTACTTCATTGCCTAACTCAATGGAAATGTATTTAAGTGAAGATATCTTGCCACTGAGTTCTTCAGCCATTCGTTCATTTTCATTTTCGATAGTATCTTCCGTAGCTACTCTGGGCACTGGCTGATAGTGGTAGCCTTCGCGGGCTCGCCTCATATTCGTTCGGCCCGCCGTTTTGATTAGCAGCAAGACACAAGAGTGATGATGATAATCAGGTCTTGGTTAATTACGTCCTTCGTTAGACGTTTATTTAATTTTGGATCTACTTGCCGCCTATTTACTATAAAATATTGTTTGTTTTTGTCAATTTGTAATAGGATATGAAAAAAAAACACTAATTTAATAATCTGGACACATTGAAAACATACATGGTTTACAGTAAGTATATAATTTGCTTTTATGTAGTTGTGTTAGATGTGATAGTCTCCTACGTGTTTATCTGACTCAAATGTCAACTGTCAATAGTAGTAGTAGCTCCATTTATCCAACTGAAAAGACGAAGGTCTCCTAATATTATGCATATTTCGTTTTATGACAAATTTAATGGACCGCATTGAAATAATGTTGATTAATTTGAAATTTTAATCATTTGAGATGAAATTAAATGAAACTTGATAATGCGGGTCTCAGTAAATGGTGTTTATTTACTTAAACTTTCTCAGTGAACGTTTTGAAAGAACTCGAGAAGCTACGTCCAGTGGCTTTGTTTTATTTTCCCACAATGTGCACTTACACAGATACTAAACAGTTAATAAAGCACCGCTATTATAAATTAACAAAATAGAACAATTCACACAACTTCGCTCCTCGCGTTCCCGTCAGAGTTCGACGTGCGAACTAGCTCATAGACACAACTCACTGGGTTTCTCACCGGGTCTTTTCAGTGGTTTACAATTCCGATCCGGTGGTAGATTCTGCGAAACACTACTATTGCTAGGGCCAGTGCTAGCAAACTCTCAGATTGAATGACCTCACCTACCAGTCGGTGATTAGCTGGAATAGACCCTTAGGGCTACCAGCGATTAGGTAGAGAAAAAAGTCTTCAACGCTCATCTTTCAGTCTACCAGTCACATAGTAGAACTGAAATCCTACGAGCTGATGAAGGAAAATACTTAGGGCTATCCCGCAATAGGCGAAACACAGAGAATTCTGTGTTACAGTACCGTGACACGTAACTAACGATGAGCACGACCACAAAATTAAGGAACAAGTGGAAGCATATATAAAAACAAAATATTGCAATTCCTAATACTCACGAGACAATCAGCTTCAGAACTAAAAAATAAATAAATAAACCTACTAATATTGATTTTTTTTATTGCTTAGATGGGTGGACGAGCTCACAGCCCACCTGGTCTTGTGGTTACTGGAGTCCATAGACATCTACAACGTAAATGCACCATCCACCTTGGTTTCACTGCAAAAATAGGCAGGGTGGTGGTACCTACCCGTGCGGACTGGACACATACTGCCCAATTTCCCAAATTAATCGTGGGTTTTCACAATTATTATAGATAAATTAAAAAAATTATATTTAGAAAGTAGATTATGCAGATAAATATTTCTTGTTTACATCGCAACGTTGAGGCACTTTGATTTAAAAAATGTCGTGATTCGTACTTTATTTAAATTACAATTTTCAACGTTGATAATAATATCAGAAGGCCCTTTAAAAAAAAAACATGGAAACTGGTTTTTCGAACAGTTTAATTAAGCATTGGCGCACTCATATCGCATGAAAAGTTTTTAATCTGTTCAATCAAGAAAATGTATTTCCGAAAATGCTTTCAAAGTAATTAAACGATAATTCAACCTGCAAACTTTTTCTTATCCCTTTTAAGCCGCCGTTAATTAGCTATTCCCGGGCCCTACAACGTCTTTTTAACATTTTCTTTTGATTTTGCACGCGCATGAACTTCATGCTTTTTCGACTTGGTGCTCGACTTCCCATCTGCCGCTCAGAATTCGTGCGCTTGGAAGTTGGAACGGGTTTACATAATATACCTTCTCTTGTGAACTTTTAATAAGTCGCTGAACGCAGAACGCAAAATAATTAATAATTTAATAAAACATGCTACATACATACTCAATTATTTTATTTTTCAATAATTATTATTGTACAAAGTTTTAACAGTCAGTAACTATCGAAGAATAAAGCTTTCTTATTACTACTTACATAAAAATTTAATGTGCCTCGAGGGGAATGTATTGCACATAGCAGTTGATTTCAGAACATAATATAGAAAAACTGATTGAACAAAAATTATAAATCTACATATACATAAGATTGTTGTTAATATTTTCTACTGAATTAAGTATCTAATTAATTTCAGTTTGTTTTTATTCACGCAGATATAAAATTAAAAAAAAACATTATTCAATGAATGCCTAGCTTTTTGCTGCTAAATAATAGTAGTCATATAATCCTTGAAACAAACTCAAATGATGACAGTAGCATATGAATAATATTATGTGATGAGTAGTCCATCAAGAATATGTATAATTAAATAAGATAGGCGATTAGCATTTAGAATATGTTAGAGAACCATCCCAGCTTCGCTGCAAAGTACTTATTATGTCGTAAACTATCATTCTGAGGGAGAAAAATCAAAACAGTTTGACGATCGACTACCACGTACCTAATCGTTACCACTGCGACTAACGCATCAGCTTTAGAGCCGGTATTCCTAAAACATACTTGGAGGAAGGTAGTTTAGGCAAGAAGACGAACATATTTAAAAAGTCAATCTACCCTCTGTATATGAAAACTAGATAAGTCTGTTTTTAAATTTCACGAGGTGACTTAATTAACGTTTTATCTTCTGTCGCGACAATGTTGTTTCTCGGATAGTGAAAAAACACACGTTTTCCCTTTAAAAATGTTTACGAAACCGAATGCGACTTTTTATAATACCCGAAAATCAACGATTTGAAGCCTCTGTTGAGAACCTCTGCAACGAAATCATAGATCCAAAGATAATGGATTCAGCTATTAAAAAAGTATTAACTGGTGAAACCCAGAATACGCTTCGGTATTCTGGGTTTCACCCACTAATACTACTATACTGGGTACTACCCCAAATAGTATGATAAACATAGATTTTTTGGAATTACTGGAGTGCCATATACTCTCCTATGATAATACGACAGAAACATTTTCTACAGCGCGAACAAAAATTTTACCAATTTTCATCACATTCCGATGAAAGATTTAGAAAGGTATGGAGGACAAACAAAACTCGAGTTCAGAGATACTATAAGCGTTTAAAAGTTTAGGTTATAAGCTAGGTTTGGGTTTTAGTTTGCTAAAAATTTCCTTGAATAGAAAGCATTATAGAATTTTGTCATAAGCAAGGTTTCTCACCTAATATGTCTCGTCTAATATTGATATAGTTTGTTCTGTCTAGTTTGAAATGAAAACGCTTACAACTTCTTTATTTCTGAACAATCTTTTATTTCGATTCCCTTGATTCGCTATTTACGAGGCATTAAAGATATTCAGTCAACTTGCCTATTTCTTATTTAACATATTAAGCTCTACAACAAAAATCGCACACGAAAAATAAATCCAATAAAAATATTAGTTTCTTTTGCAAAAAATATTTAAGCCTCATAATTAGCAGTGTTAATAGAATGCATTTCATAAGCCTACACGTCCCTCTTACAATTGTCCGTCCGTTAATTATAATAATATGTACTCAGAGAACCTCTAGGAAGTAATGACCTAGGTTCACTAATTTTAGGCTGCCGTTTGACTGTCATTTAATTTGAGTATTCTACCCAAATAACTATTTTGCTTTAGTGCTCAAGTGAAGCCTGACGTTATTTAAAGCTATAAAAGCAAACCTCTTAGTCAAATTTAGTTACCTGTAGGTAATCGCTCTGGATTTCATGACGTTTGATTTTTCTTCACATTTTAATTTTATTGATGTATTAAATCATTCCAATGAAATTGTAAATTCATAATAAAATTTTAAAATTTTAATGATTAATGATATTATTGTGTCATCTTCAGCAGTTCTCTAAGTAGTTCATAACTTCTTCGTCGCCTTCGTGAAAAGGCATTATCTATTAGAATTATCAGAAAGTATAAAAAAGTATGTACATAAAATAAACAGTACTTTAAAATATGATAATACAATTTCTAGATCTGACTGTTTTCGATATTGCTATCTATAGCTAGCTACACATCGATCCTAATACAGTAGAGTAATTAGTCATTCACAATGTAGCCTTGATATATCCAAATGAGTTATATTTTTATATGTACACATTATTTACATAAAACAATATACAAGAAAGTACAAAATTTAAAACTAAAATGAAATAACCATTTAATTTTGTCAAATTGCAGTTAAAAAGTTAAAACTGTCACCATTTTAAATAAAATTGTTTATTTTTTCTGAAAATTTTAATTACAATTTTAAACACGTTAAGATACAAAACTGTATTTACTAATTGTATACGGCTTTATTTTTAAACGCAACAAGGAGATTCAGCGGACACCAAGTGCAAAATATCGTAACACGCACAACCACTCAGAAAGCATTTAAAACTAAATGGTATGTTCACATAATTAATTTAATAATAGTCTCTTAGTTTTTATACTGTTTCACAGTCATCGTGCTCTGGCTAAAAACCAACGCCTTTTACCCCCTCAAATTTTCGTAATTTCGATCCTTTGTGATGTCAAGTTTCCAATGTTTTTCCAAATTAATCATCTCCGCAAGATTTTTACAATTACTCGAGTAATTATTCAATTGAATATTCAATTTCGAAAAGGGCACAAAATGTAAAATGTTCAGGAAATGAAAAAAAACTGTTTATTTTCTAAAGTAGTGTAAAATTTAAAATATTAACTTTTGAGATATATTTTAGTATTATTAAGAATTTTAAAATTACTGGAATTATTATAAAATGGGTGTAGGTAAGCCTCAAAACTACATCGACGATCGAAAGGCAAACGTGACTAAGCGACAATAACTGCTTTGTACATAAATGATAGGCAATTACCATATTCGATGCACAAAAAATATATATTTCTAGGTCTATTAAAATAATTTCAATCCTACAGCTAGATTCGTTAAAAAAATTTTTTTTCAGGTATTTCAACTTTAAATTAGTCTACTGTAAAGTTCACGCATTGTCGATTAGTCATGTTTGCCTTTCAAGCGTCGACATGTATACGAAAAAACGTATTTGACAAAATATGCGACGTGTGCCCTTTTCGAAACTGCATATTAAATTAAAGTCACTAGTAATTACGAACTCTTCATTCATTGTTGAATTACGTGGAATTCATTACTTTTTCGATCGTCATATATGTACTGGTACGTGCAGGAGAAGATCATCGCGTCGCGCGAATTCTAGCGAGCACATCTCGCATTTGAAGAGTCTGGATTCGTCGGCGGGAGCGGACGGCGGCGGCGGCTCCGGCGACATCGGCTCCGGCGTCCGCGGAGTGACCGGCGACGGCGATCTTGCTATCTCACGCAAATCGTCGGCCGGATGACGCGGAGTTCGGCGCGATCTCATCTAAAAGCAAATCACATAACATGTTAAAATAAAACTTTTAAATGAGGCTTGAGGAACATATCTACAGCTTTATTCGTTAAAAATTTAATATCTTGAGAGTTTTCATCAAAAGGACGCCTTCAAAGGCACGTATCAAATGTTTTAATTTTATATTATACTAGCTGTACCTGGTAACTGGTGTAGGGAGTCCAACACTTATATAAATATTAGCCTATCCACTAAGTACATGTATTTTCTACATGGTTACCAAGTTTCAAGTCAATCGGATGCATGGTTCAGTAGTTATAACGGAACATCCGTAAAAACCACTGTAGATTTATATATTAATATAGATTTACAAAAAAAAGTCTTACGTTTATGACGTCACGTTTACCAACTTTCAATATTGTTGTCCTCGAATGCGATGCGACCTGGACGTGTAAGCGAATGGTGGGCGTTACCTGACGCTTGGTGCGGCGCGCGTGGGCGAGCCTGGTGCGGCGCGGCCGGGAGGCGCGGGGCGGGGGCGAGTCGGGCGGCGGCGGAGAGGGGGGCGGGGAGGCGGGCGGCGGGGAGCTGCTCTCCCAGTTGTGCACGGGAGAAGAGTCCATGCTCATTTTCCGTCTCCGCTTATACTTTCGAGGTCCAGACTGGTTCAACAGTATGAAAACCAGTTAATTTGTTTGTCTTATTGTTTTACACAAAAAGTTATGTTTTATCTAGTATGGATTAATCGCTACCACATATCAACAATAATGTTGTGGGATCGTGTTTGACAAATACAAATTAGGTAAATCAGCACTAAAATTGTAAGTTAGAGTCACCATTTTAATAGCTACATAAAATATTTGTAGCCAGCAAATAATATTTTTTATGAATGTCAGCAATACCAGGGGAACATCCAAGACACTGCTTACTATAGTCCAGTCGCGGAGCAGGAAAAAAATTGTACAATGACCTTGTTACCTACTGACAGTAATCACAAACATTTTTATATTAAGTGCAGTTTACATAAAACGTGTGAAGGAGAAAAAAATTTACAAACTAAAAAAAGTATTGTTATTATAATGAATTATTTATTTAGACTTTATATTATAACAGTTATAAAAATCGAGTTACAATCACTAACTCGGCAGAAATAAAAAAATGAAAATTCAAAAATCATAATCCGATTCCTCTGTATCAGAGTTACTGTTTGCCTTACTTACTACTTAAGGCCAACATGCAAACAAGAACAAACCTTACAGTCTCAGGTAATAGGTTCACAATCCCTGAGAACGACGGTCATTGCATCTGTGCGAGCGAGACTCATTATATTTACGCGTGAGTGACAAAGACAGGTAATAACAGGTTAACGTACGAAATTCTTCTTGCTCCGCGACTGGACTATACAAGGTTCTACTACTATATACTCTATACTAGCGACCCGCCCTCGCTTCGCTTCGGAAACATTAAATTTTATTATTGATAGCCGAGTCCCGCGATGTTACCCGCGGTTATGGTGGTATCGCGGGTGACACCGCGGGGCGAAGCACATTAGAAACATCAAAAATAACAGTATTTCACCACTATTTAATGGATTTTATTATACATATAATGCTTCCTCTTCAATCACTCTATCTATTAAAAAAAACGCATCAAAATCTGTTGCGTAGTTTTAAAGATTTAAGCATACATATGGATATAGGGACAGAGAAAACGACTTTGTTTTATACTATGTAGTGATTCAAAATAACAGAAAATAATTTACAATGTTTGATTATTTAATATTCGACAATGTCTTGAATAGAATGTCTCTCACCTGTGGTTGCCTTTTCATGGCTGTATTTGCATCACAATGCTGTATGAGATGTTGTACGAGTTCGTTGCTAGAGTGCAGAGTCCGACCGCAAACAACACATATATATGCGGGTCCACCTGTAATATTTAATTTTAACTTAGCGACTTTGTTGCGTGTGACGCCTTTAAAGTCCAAAACAATTGAGTTTATTATTAAGTAAGGATCAATTTAATCTTTCGTTTCAAAACGTAAGACAACTTTGCACTAAATAAATAATAGTTTTAAAAAAAAAACTAAAAAAAACGCTTTATATAAAATTCAACTAAAAAATAGAAAATAATTTTTTATAAATTTAAATTGAAAATAATGTAAAAATATATATTTTATTGTAAAAAAAAGCGTGGGGTGCATGGTGTTTTAAATATTTTTTTGACAGATATGAGTAGAAGAATTATTATTTCAATTATTATTTCATTTTTTAGTTAAATTTTCTAAAAGCGTATTTTTAAAACTATTAAGTACCTTAACAGCAATTCCTGCCTTATCGACTATAGATAACAATTATATAAATTGGCAAAAATCTTATTTTACAAATGGAATAATGGAATAATCTTATCAAAGTAGTGTATTGTCATCGGTCCTCAATAAATCTACAGTTTGAATGAAATCTGGGTTAGCGTTTAAAGTGGGTCAAAATCGCGTCTAAAGGGTCAGTTATAAACATACATACAAGTGAAGCTATTAAAAAGCGTGTAAAAACGGATAAAATGATGGTATGAATTCCTTAAGCATCACAATGCGCTATATCTATGCGTCCGGGCATTATCAAATTATTACTGTTGACTAATAAATATATTGAGTCACAATTTGTTTTTGTTTTTAAACGTAGTACTGTATAGAATATGTAATTATTACCGTTAGTACATCTGTCCGGCGCCGAATGATGCGATCGAACATGTTCACGAAGCACAACTCTTTGGTTGAAAGCGCGAGGGCACACAGCGCACGCATAAGGTTTCTCGCCTATAGACAGAAAACATTTAAACTTTCGTATTACTACAAAAAAGCTATAAAGTATAAAGATATAGAAAAAAAATTGCACTTTTTTACACTTTTACATTTTTACTTTTGACATTACTTAAATTTCATAGCTATTGCTGGTAGGACCTCTTATGAGTCCGCGCAGGTAGGTACCACCGCCCTGCCTGTTTCTGCCGTGAAGCAGTAATGCGTTTCGGTTTGACGGGTAGGGCAGCCGTTGTAATTATACTGAGACCTTAGAACTTATATATCTCAAGGTGGGTGGCGCATTTAGGTTGTAGATGTCTATAGGCTCCAGCAACCACTTAACACCAGGTGGGCTGTGAGCTCCTTCACCCATATAGGCAATAAATAAAAAAAACTAAATTATGAGTAGATATTTTGTTAATTATTATGTTTATTTTTACATGATAATTACGAAATAAAGATATTAGATATTGAAAAATAACACCTGCCACACATAATTAGTAACATTATAAAAACTGACCTGTATGTATTCTCTCGTGTTTTCGTAAAGTACCACCATCAGCAAAGGCTTTCCAACAGAATCGACACGCGTAAGGTCTCTCCCCTGTGTGAATTCGGATGTGAATCTGCTGCGAGCTGCGGGATCCAAACACTTTCCCTAATCGAAAAGAATTAAAACTGTATATTTACTCATTTCAATCATTCTCACAATTTTGAGCTTCAGTGTGAGCAACATTAATAACTAGCAACATTAATAACTAAAGCCTTCGTCAAACAGAACCCGTACTTAGCGCTGCGTTTTAACGTCGCGCTCTTTTCACGTCAAACAAATTGACTAGATGAGTCCAACGCTCCTTGACGCAACGCATTCGCCAAATCATAGTGCCTTTCGATAGCAAAATGAAAATTTAAAAGTATTAAGATGTCGAGTGATTCAGATGTGGCATTGTAGAAGCATGGGTATTTTCTAACTAATTCTATTAATTTTTCGGGCATTATCCAGTATTTTAATACACAATCACTCGGACGCTAAAGTAAAATTTGTAAAAAATTACAACGCCTGACGTCAAAGCCTCCTAACGCCGCGACAGAGCGCTGCGTACTTATAGCGCTGGGGCTCTGTTTGACGGTATGTTACCATAGTAGTACAACACATGTCGGCGTCATAGCGTGCCGTCACTTTAGCGGTCTGACGCGCGCTAATTACGCGTTCTGTTTGACGAAGCCTTTAAGTGTAAATTTTTGCTCACCGCATTCTCTACATGGAAACTGCCGAGCGATGTTTGACGAAGACGCATTACTTCTGCCTTTAGACGTGCGTTTCACTCTGCAAACAAAAAAAAAGTTGAGTTTAGTTATTTAGAATTTCATTTTTAAAATAATATCACTAAATAGATAGTACCTTGTCAGTCAGATTTTTACTATTGTTAGGAAAGATATAAGTTATAAAAAGTTAATTATATTTTAAGGGGAATTAAGTTTAATTTTTTTATAAATAAGAAAAATTGAATGAATGAATGAATGAAAATTCTTTATTGCACAAAAATATTGTACTAAGGCGAACTTAACGCCATGCAGACACTCTCTTCCAGTTAACCCTCGTTGATGAAGTGAAAGATTCAAGAAGTGCGTAACTGTGTTAAGGTTAATACATGGCGATAATTTAAGGAATTATAGTAGAGATGAATTATATAATAGTAAAAAATTGTACAGCTGAAAGTTGAAATCGTTCTAAATTTAATTGATTGAATATAGTTGTAGAATATGTCTGTGGTTGTTCTGCGAGGTGGTCCCCGCAGACACATTGTGAGTACGTGTCCTGGTGAAACTGGAAAGGCCTCCGGGCCACCAGTAATAGTTCAATCATAAAAAAAAACACATTGTGAGTGTACCTATTGTTGTGTGGGGGCAGGTCGCGGTCGCGGTCGGCGTGCAGCTCGGCGTGCGCCAATAGCTGCAAGGCATCCGTGCACGCGGCGCCGCACACTTCGCACGTGTGCTCCGCCCACGAGCCGGAGTTCTCGTGTCGCTTGTAACTGCGTAGATAACCATCCACAATATTATTTATTTATTTACTACAAGGAGAACCAACAGCCAACTAACATAGTATAATAATATCAAAAATAATAGAAACAAAAAAATTAAAAACAATCAGCAAGCAAGAAACAACATAAGGAAGGAGGAATACACCAGACTAATTTAAATGTACACTTATGTATAAACTAGCGACCCGCCCTCGCTTCGCTTCGGAAACTGTAATTTATTATTGATTTCTCCACTATTTAATGGATGTTATTATACATATAAACTTTCCTCTTCAATCACTCTATCTATTACAAAAAACCGCATCAAAATCCGTTGCATAGTTTTAAAGATTTAAGCATACATAGGGATATAGGGACGGAGAAAGCGATTTTGTTTTATACTATGTAGTGATAAAAGTTACCTGTGGGCCGCAGCAACGTGCCGTCGGAGTAAATCAGCTCGCTGGAAAGCAACGCCGCAATCCGGACAAAACAATTCTGGACCTCGAATGGTGTCGTATACTGGTCTTCCCGTAGATCCACCACCTCGACCTTCGCTAACAGATGCAGGTGACAACTGGTAATCCATATCGTCTCCTGTTAAAGAAATATTTTTTTGAATATTGTTGTCTAGTTTATGACTTGTGGAGATCCTTTCCTGTCGAAAGATTTTTTATGGAAAGATTGCATTTTCTTTTTTCTTGTCCGTGTAAGCAGACGAGCGTACGGCCCACCTGATGGTGAGTGGTTACTGTCGCCTATGAACTTCAGTAATGTCAGAGGCAGAGCCAAGCCGCTGACTACCGTTAAGTATGAATGAATATGAGTTAGAGACTTTTCCTCTCAGAACAAAGGGGCCAACTCTAAGGCTCAGCTAAGAGGGAAAGGCTTGCTAACAATTGCCTGAGATGTTGCCCAAGATGAGGTCGAATAGCTCAAGTGTACCTGCATCTACCACCACACGATCGGAAACGGAAACCACTGAAGAGACCTTGTTGAGAAACTCAACAGGCTAATACTTAGAACCATGTGACCTGTGGACCTTCGCGTTAATTGTAATGGTTGTTCACATATTTTTTTGCAAACGCAACCCTGCAATGCACACGTAGAAAGCACTAAATATTTACTTTGTTAGCTAAAAACAATCATAACTAAATTTCTTTACATCGTTGAAACTCGTATTTGTTTCATGTTCAACAAATTGGTTTTTGCACTTTTTTTTGTGTTATACATTATTACATATGTGTGCTATTAATAAAGGCTGCAAGGGAATCGTTATCGCAAATATATATAAATATATTGAAGCAGTGTTGTTTATCTTATTATTTTACAGTGTTTAGCGATGCGCGAAATAAACACATTATATGAGTCGTCTATTATCAAAGGTGGCAATCTGTACATTTGGACAAATTTTTTTTATTGATATGTCAATACAGATTTATTTGAATATAATCGTCTCCTTCAAAGAATACGGTTCAAAACCTGCATTAAATAAAGGTTAATAGTTAACCTGTTATTTATCTAAGATGTCGTTCCGAAGAGTTTCGTGACTGCCAATGGAATACAAAGTCAATAATTCGTTTTTCTGATTTACCAATCATTGTCTAAAAGTCAGATTGCCGCCTTTGATAATAGTCGACTCATATATAGCACACATTATATTATATCGACGCTTGAAAGGTAAACGTGACTAAGCGACAATAACTGATTTGTACATAAATGATAGGCAATTACCATATTCGATGCGCAAAAAAAATATATTTCTAGGTCTATTAAAATCATTTCAATCCTACAGCTACTAGCTAGATTCGTTAAAATAAATTTTGTTTTCAGGTATTTCAACTTTAAATTAGTCTACTTTAAAGTTCACGCATTGTCGCTTAGTCACGTTTGCCTTTCAAGCGTCGATATGTATTATAGCGCTAGCTTGTTTGACTAGCCGATGCCTACGCGCGCATTGCTGTTAGCGTGGACCTATTTATGTTACTTATGACTCTTGCAGCTGAAAGTAAGTATTGTACTTTTTGACGAAGCATGTTGCTGATAACTCTATTTCTGTAATCTGACGAAGCATGTTGCGGATAATAACATGTACTTATAGCGCTCATTAATAAAGTCATAATGATAAGAATTACTGGTGATAGGACCTCTTGTGAGTCCGCACGGGTAGGTACCACCACGCTGCCTATCTCTACCGTGAAGCAGTAATGCGTTTCGGTTTGAAGAGTGGGGCAGCCGTTGTAACTATACTGAGATCTTAGAACTTATATCTCAAGGTGGGTGGCGGCATTTACGTTGTAGATGTCTATGGGCTCCAGTAACCACTTAACACCAGGTGGGCTGTGAGAAAAGAATATCAAATAAATTTGATTTCTGGTAATCTTCTAGATGTTGTGTTTCGACGTCGGGAACGGTAATAAAGTTTCCTTCGTCCTGTATTTGTAGTGTTTGGAGGGTACCTGAGTCGGCCTCGTATTTCAGTTCAGGCGTTAGCGCGCGTTGGGGATCGACGTGCGGGTGACGATGTCGAGTGTGTGAGGCGAGGGCTTCGCGGGACCAGCACAGCTCGCCGCACTCGCCGCACTCCACCGGGGAATCACCGCCGTGCACCTGCACAAATATATTCCAATGTTTGAGTATTATCGAATGTAGTAGGACGACACAAAAAATCCTCAAAAAAATTTGAAGTGAATTTTCTTTAGAATCGTTGTGATTTCAAGCTCGATGAAACGAAAAAATAAGTCCATAGAGACAGTTTAATACAGCGCCATCTATGAGGTTTTTTAATTCTAACGTATGTATGAAACCTCTGTAGTGAATTTTAATTTAGGATTATACATGAAGTTAAAATATTAGTTCACAGAGGGCGCCTACCTCATACTATAAAAGATGATTTACAATTATTTACTAATGACAAAATTTTACATATACTTAGACATTTAGGATAACTGTATTTTAATTTTTGAAGATTTCACTTCTACCACGTCTGAATTGCACACATGTATTTTTTTTACTGTTTTGGTGGGTGAGCCATTTCACGGTCCACGTGGTATAAAGTGCTTACCAAAGCACGTAAATTTCACGAGATTTTTTTTATTGCTCCTGTAAGCAGACTCACATACGGTCTACCTGTTGGTGGGTGGTTCCCGCTGCCCATGGACGTCAGTAATGCCAGGAGCAGAGTCAACCCTTCTCCTGCCGTAAATGCTATAGTCTACCATGAGATATTAGCTTAAAGTCTTAATTGTAATGTATAACAGCTATCGCAATAAAATGAAAAAAACTTTAGGCATTTCTAGTGATAGTAAGAAGGCACCCATCTAAGTCAAGTAAGTAAGTTATATGAGATGACAACAAACCCTCGCATGTGATTGCAGAGCCTTCTCCCTCGCGAAACCGATCCCACAGTGTCTGCACACGAAGGGGCGGGAGGGGTCAGCGGGCGGCGTCGGGTGTGCGGCGTGCGCGGGGCGCGGGGGCGGCGTGACGGGAGAGGGGGCGGTAGGCGGAGAGGGCGGCGTGGGAGGCGGCCGGGGAGGACTTCGTGCTCGTCGTGACCACTGCTGCGTGCGCGCTGACGTCATGTTCTCCCAACCGTTCTATACAAGTAGAAATACAATATATTTTTTAATTCTTTTCTTTTTGCTTGTGGTACCTAAAAGCACCGTTAATGGATCGGGAGGATCCGTAATGACGTGTTTAGGGCGACGTCGACTGTTTACCATTCGGTCCACAGAATCGGGTATGTTTTTTAATAAGTGTGTTCTGGTTGCATATGTGAATACAATCTTAATATTATATATTTGTTTAAACAATGGACTGAGTAGTCTTTAACATATATCACAAAGTGAATGACGCTGTCCATCTTAATATTTTCTTTGAGATATCATTTATATCAAAGCAGATAGGGTTTGTTTTTTTTTTTCTTAGATGGGTGGTCGAGCTCACAGCCCACCAGATGTTAAGTGGTTACTGGAGCCCATAGACATCCACAACGTAAATGCGCCACGCACCTTGAGATATAAGTTCTAAGGTCTCACGTATAGTTACAACGGCTGCCTCACCCTTCAAACCGAAACGCACGAACTCAAACGAACTGCTTCACGGCAGAAATAGGCAGGGCGGTGGTACCCACCCGCGCGGACTCACAAGAGGTCCTACCACCAGTAATTACGCAAATTATAATTTTGCGGGTTTCATTTTTATTACACGATGTTATTCCTTCACCATGGAAATCAATCGTGAACGTATTTCACGTACACTTTACACGTGTAAGTACGTATTTCATTTGAGAAATTGGTACCCGCCTGAGATTCGAACACCGGCGCATCGCTCAACACGAATGCACCGGACGTCTTATCCATTAGGCCACGACGATTTCAAAATAATTAATATTGAATAATTAATGTTAAATAAATGTTTTAATTTTTATAGTTACAGAATAGAATAGTTTTCACTGTTACTTTCATTAATTAAGTATATACATTCTGTAAGTTACTAAAATATTTACATCAACAATGCATTCAATAACCATTGTTACAATCTTTACCTCAATTGTTTCTGAATTCTTTTTTCTCCTTCCCCTTTTTTTCTTTGGTTTAACATTTTGGTTTTTTTCTACATCTTCTGAAACTAAACAATACATATTCCACATTAATTTTAAAACTTAATATTATCATAGAAACATTTAGACAAAATTATTTTTAGACACACTTTTTAGTAATTAAGGCTATATATTATATATATACATATATGTATTTGCTGGTGGTAGGACGTCTTGCGAGTCCGCACGGGTAGGTACCATCACCCCGCCCGTTTCTGCCGTGAAGCATGCGTTTCGGCTTGAAGGGTGGGGAACTCATATCTCAAGGTCGGTGGCGGCATTTACGTTGTAGATGTCAATGGGCTCCGGTAGCCACTTGACAGCGGGCCGAGAACTCGTCCACCCAACTAAGCCATAAAAAAAACTGCATTTCTACTAATGCATGCAGATACAACTACATATATTATTTAATTCATTTTCAATCATATTTATGTCACTATAATTTAATATACTCATTAAATCTTCCTTAAAAACTCATATCTATCATTTTTTTAAAGTATAGTTTATCAAATAAAGACTCATACCAAAATCCATTTCATCTGCATCTTCAGGTACATAAGCATGCACCTTCAGATGATTCATAAGATCACATTTTCGAACATATCGTACGCCGCAAAGATTACAAGCGTGTGGTCTATCATTCTGATGTGCAACCATGTGGTTCATCAAGGCGGCTTTTTTACGGAACCGCCGTGAGCAGAAATCGCATGGCCATGGTCGCATTGCAGTATATTCATCCTAGAGAAAATAGTATTTTTACTGAAAGTCAGAATTTCATTAAAGCAAAGTCAAGGGTTACTGTGATAAATTGTGGCCTTGTTATAGTATTTGATGGTGGAGATATTGTAATTTAAATATATATTTTTTCCTCTTTAATATCTCCAATCAGTATCCCGTACTTTTATTAGATGCTTTGAAATTAATTAATTAATTATGAAATTAATTGATTCCTGGTTGGATTGAATACTAAAATGAGACTACTAGTTCCAACTGCTGATTACCAAATATATTTCTTTGTAAGAAATTGCATTTTGATACATTCTTGATTTTTTGCTAGCATCATTGCAGTTAGAGCCAAGGTTAAATGCACTTTACAAATGTGACCAGCAGTAGTACCATGTAACTGTTGCAATGTTAAAGAGAAACCGGGCAAAATGTCCAAATAATCAGCACCACCATTAAATTTTCTACAAATGACTACTTTGGACTACATAATCTAATCAGTATACATCTATTTGCTCAGTTTTTTATAAATCAGTTTAACTTCACAGTTCTTGTGTGGTATAAAAATATTTTATTTATTCCTAGAGAAAAAAGTGAAAACATTCTGGGTTTCATCTATAGACTAACGTAGATACTTTATTATAATTTTTTGAATACCCTTAACACTTTTATCTATGTAATGGCTCATTGACCAATTGACTAATATTTGTTTTCATCACAAATTAAAACAGTTTTTCACAATAATGAATTTTATTTTTTGTTTCAAAAAGTGACAGAGAAAGATAATAATAATATATATTTGCTTTGTGTGCCATTCAAGCTATGTACCTATATTAATTGAAAAAAAAAACTGTGGATGTTGCAATAATCTTTCATTTCATTATTCTATTAATTTGACAGTACAATATTCAGTGTAAATATGCATATTATTACCAATTTTATTTAGTAGGCAAAGCTTTAACTTTTATTTTAAAAAAATATTAATATATTTAGTGAAACCTTACTTGATCAGTTGGTAATGGAACATCTACATCATTTTCTTCTTTTATGTGTAAAACGGGATGTGTTAGCTGATCTATAGGTACTTCAACTCTGAAAACAAATACAATTTCATACTTATCAAGAATTGAAGTAAAAGAACGGAAGAAATAACAATTTCATGCACAAATGAGGATTCTAATTTTTTTGATCAATATTTTGAAATTATCACTAATTTTGTATGTAATGGCTATAATAATACTATAAAAATTAATATGAAATTCAAAATTTATTACCGCTCTTGTCCACCTGGGGTAACCCAATCGTCAGTGATAACTTCTTCGGTTACACATTCCACATTTGGGTCTAGCTCAGGATCAACAAAGCTGACAACATCCTGAGCAAGATACATCAAATTCTCGGCAGCTATTTGGTCGATTTCTGATTGCTGAAAGTTTGAAAGACAGTACAATGGCTGCAAATTATAAACACTTGTGAATGACCACCACACCAAATATTACTTTTAGTCAATACTGGGAACACGGTCGTGACTGAGATGCACACTTTTTAATATTCATTGCTGAAAAATAAGTGCAATAATAAATCTGAATAGAGATCTTTTAATAGCATAAAGTTTGGCATGCAGTACTACAATGGTCCAAATTGTTTACATTAATATCTATGGGTTGTACAGCATTTTAATTTTACATAGGCATGAAAGCTACTGTTGGTACTGTACTCTACAGTTATTTACCAATTACCGTTTAGTTCATATATTGTCCATAATAAAGAGGTAAAGATATGGTAAAAAATCCTATAGAAATTTTTTGATCAATAATAAAATAAGGTAAACTAAACTATTCAGAAAATTAAGTAAAGTTATGATGTAATTACCATATTTCCATAGCTTTGAATATTTTCTATGGAACATATAGGTCCATCTGCTCTGGAATGACTGGGACTATTCTGAAAGGTATTTATTGTTATTATGAGCTAGTGGTTTATTGAAAAGAAACACAATCTTATGAAGTAATTTATTTATCATAATTATAAACTATAAGGAAAGTTTTTTTGGTAATTTTTTTTAGCCTCCTACCTTTATAACAACCTCCTCCTCCCAGCGGAGGTTGAATTCTTCACCATCCATGTTATTTGTTGAGTTCAATCATTGTACTGCATTTAAAAAAAGTACTTGATTACCTATACAAACAGTAACTGATTATTTCACTTGTTCTAAATGTGTTTTTTTTTTCAAGTCTCGTATTTTGTCAAAACAATTAATGAAATATTGCTATGGTATTATTTATTTTAAGACGATCACAATTTTTACATCAAAACATCAACATAACCTAATATTTCGCATTTATAATTGTAACATATTAAAACTATGGTACTTTTAAATTAGAAATTAATTATGACGTGTTGCGAGCACTAAATGTAGATTAATGAAAACCGAAAAATTCGAAAAGAAAATGGTGTCAAGTTCTGTGGAATTATAATAGGTTATCCGTCAAACATAAAGGTTAGATGTGAATAAACAAATACAATTTTATGAAAAGTAGTATTATAAACGAAGTTAATTATCACCTTGAAATATTTCCCAATTTATTAAGGATAATGGAGACGCACTACAACATAGCTATAGGTTTTTATGACGCAATCGAGAACTTATCAATAGTTCATCACCGACGAAAACAAAAATATAACCAAACTGAGTTTTATATTCTATGAACATAAAAACCGAGGATTTACCTCTTACTCAAAAAACAATAATTTTAGACTGTAAAGTGCAGTCTAACATGTAAAATTCTGGAATTAACATCTCATAGAGAATGCCTATCTTCATTTGTACGACTAGTTCACCTCCATTTTTTTATGATCCATAAAATAAAGAGTAAAGTTAACAGGTAATATAAGAATAGTAAATCGCATTTTAGGTCGCATGCTTTACGCTTTTACCAATCCGGTAAAAAAAATCGCAAACATGCCTTAAACTAAAGTGCTCCGTTCTATCTAACAAGTACAGAAAATATGAGCAAGTCACTCTATTTCACAAATTCCCACCATTTGCGATTCGATTAGCCGTTTCCCATTGCCACTTTATCCCAACGTCACAAATGATTTATTAGGGACACCTAAAGATATAAACTCCTCGGAGCACTACTTTAATAGATAAGGACATTTAATAATATATTACATACTAACATCATATAAGATAATAACTTGAATATTCAATGCTTAAGTACAAATAAATTTAAAAAAGAATATTTTGTTAAAGTGAAAACAAGGCCAAAAACGTCAATGACAATTTATTGCGTTCATTTCGTTGTAAACAGTGACCGGTATAGCTAACTATAAAGGAACAGCTTCATTATACGCAAATCGGAACATAGTCGAAGTGTGGTAGTTTAAGGCTCTGTTTTTAAAATCTTTCCGCTTGCTACTATGGTGCCACCTTAATTGGATCTGTTTTAGCGGACACTTTTTATTATACGGTACCTATTGAGATGTACTCCTTAATTCTACCCTCCATAATATGTGTAGTGTGTACTTTGTAGTCTAGTACACTTATTTGTAATGACGATTTATCAATTTAATTAACAGGCCATAAAATTCGTCAAAAAACAAACTTTCGGCTGCAACGCTAGTGCAAAATTGTGTGAATTGTTTTAATTTCTTCATTTAGTGTTTCTTCCGGTCAAAAAATATAATAACGGTGATTTATTGACTGTTTAGCATCTGTGAATGTGCTCGATGTGGGAAAATGAAACAAAGCCCCTGGACGTAACTTCTCGGGATCCTCCAAAAAGTACACTAAGAAAGTCTCAGTAAAAGACCACGATTTTACTGAGATTATTGTGTCATCTCATATCATCTCATCTCATTTCATTTCATTTCATTTCACTCCATATTATAATTTTTCACAAAAATAAGAATATAAATTAAAATAAGACTTGATCTAAATGTCTCAGTTGCCGGGTCATCAAATCACTTAAAAAAAAAGTAACTGTTGTACTAATCGGTGACTCAATGGTTAATTCACGAAATCCAGGACTTTTTGGCGGGAACGCGAGGAATGAAGTTGTGTGATTTATTTTATTTTGTCTATTTAGTGTTTCGTCGTGTTTAAATGTGTAATAATTGTGGTTTATTAACTGTTTAATATCTGTGAAAGTATATGTACCAAGAAGATATGTACCAAGATCTGGAAAACAGGCCAATGGCCCAGTGATTGGACAAAATCTGCAATAGTACCACTTCAAAACAAGGGCTCCACAGCGAAGTGTGAGAACTACCGAACTCTGTCGCTCATATCCCACGCGAGTAAAATACTCCTTCGCATATTAAACAGCAGACTATCAGCTTTCATAGACCACCNTGAAAGTATATGTACCAAGAAGATATGTACCAAGATCTGGAAAACAGGCCAATGGCCCAGTGATTGGACAAAATCTGCAATAGTACCACTTCAAAACAAGGGCTCCACAGCGAAGTGTGAGAACTACCGAACTCTGTCGCTCATATCCCACGCGAGTAAAATACTCCTTCGCATATTAAACAGCAGACTATCAGCTTTCATAGACCACCAGATACCGAGAGAACAGGATGGTTTTGTAGCTGGAAAAGGAACTCGCGAGCAAATTTTGAACGTCTGAGTGCTCATTGAGAAATTTCGCGAGTTTAACAAGCCTCGGGTGCTATGCTTTATAGATTATGCGAAGGCGTTTGACTGTGTTCAGTGGAGTAGCATGTTTGATGTGTTAATTGATATGGGCGTTCCTTCTCATCTCACACTACTTATACGGAATTTGTACCTTGATGGCTCTTGCTTCGTGAAACTGGATAATCAAATATCTAAGCCCTTCCATACAGAACGTGGAGTGCGTCAGGGCTGCATTTTGTCACCCATATTATTTAATATCTACGGCGAATATAAAATGAGAAGAGCACTTAAAGGCTGGAACGGCGGTATTTCCGTGGGCGGTGAAACACTCACGAACCTAAGATACGCTGACGACACTACCATGCTTGCATCAGATGAGGAGGAAATGGCAATTCTGCTGAACCATGTGGAAGAAGAAAGTGCTAAACTCGGTCTTAAAATCAACCACTCCTAGACCAAAATAATGATAATAGATAGAGCGCAACTTCTTCCACGTTCTGATGTACTCAAGGGCTATGAGAAAGTAGCGGAATTCATATATCTTGGGTCGCAAATAACATCCGAGGGTGGCCGCACGAGGGAGATACGCCGAAGATCCGGTATGGCTAAAAGTGCGATTGCCAATCTCGAGAAGATATGGAAAAATCGTAGCATCCGATATAAAACCAAAGTGCGCTTGGTGCGGGCACTGATCTTTCCCATATTCCTCTACGGCGCGGAGACATGGTGCATAAAAAGCCGGGATATCAAGAAGATCGATGCCTTTAAAATGTGGGTGGGGTGGAGGATGCTGCGAATACCGTGGACTGCCATAAGAACAAACGAATCCGTTCTAAGGTAGCTAGACATCCGAAAAAGGCTCTCTTCCATCTGCCGGGAACGTCTTATGAGCTTCTTCGGACACATCATGCGGTCTCCCAGACATGAATTAGAGAAGCTCATAATAACGGGTCTAATAGAAGGCAAGCGCGCCGTGGGCAGAACACCAGCCAAATGGTCAGATCTAGCAAGAGAAGCACTCGGTGGTAGTCTGTACCATGCAGTCCCTGCCACCCATGATCGAGCGCATTGGAAGTACGTCGCATGTGGTCGCGATCCTCAGTAGTGAGGGAACGATAAAGAAGAAGAATCTGTGAAAGTGCACAAATGTGGGAAAATGAAACAAAGCCGCTGGACGTAACTGCTCGGGATCCTCCAAAAAGTCCACTGAAAAATTTTTAGTAAATGACCACCATTTTACTGAGATTATATTTCATCCCATATCATTTCATTTCATTTCATTTCATCCCAGTTGATTAATGTCTCAAATTAATCATCTTTATTTCATTTCACTCCATAATATCATCTTTCATAAAAATATGAATATAAATTAAAATAAGACATGACTTAAAAGTCTCAGTTACCTGGTCATAAAATCCCTTAAAAAAAACATAAATCCATAGAGTAAACAATTTATTTGAGAAAGACAAAATCCTTTATAAAAAATTACACCTTATTTACCATACCTACTTTTAGTAAAGTGTGCTAATTATATACTTAATTGATATTAGTATGTGCGTTTAGTCTTTGAAATTAATTATTTTGTACGGAACTGCGTAAAGTGTAAACTGTAAAGTGTAGTACCTATCCTTAACAGGCGAGCGCACTTACATCAGTTTCAGTTATCTTCATCATCAACTGAAATGTCTCAGGAACTAAAGGAACTCTGTCAATTAATTTTCCCAAGCTCACCTACAGGTAGGTATCATAACATTTATATCTTAACGGAAATAAATATATTTATTTAGTAATCCAAATTATAAAGTTGCCATTCATAATTTTTTCAGAAAATGTCATATTTTTTAGCGAAGTCAGTGATTACATCAAAAAATTGGGTTCTCAGAATTGGGACTATATTCGGAAAGAACCAGAAAGGCTTACTGAGGAGATGAAGCACTTAACAGAGCAGACCCAGGAATTAGCATTCACAAATTACAAGACTTTTGTTGAAACTGCAGAAATATCCCGTACTATAATTAAGGATCTTAATAGATCAAAGCAATCCTTACAGAATTTTCTTGATGCTACTCCTGGTTTTATTGAAGAGAGCGAAAGGTTTTCGCAGATGGCTGGTACCATTGTGAAAGAGAAAAGGTAGTTGTATGAAAACCTTTTAACACAAAATAAGATTTTGTAACTGTATGAGAATAACCAAGATTGAAAAATATTAAATAAAAATAATTACCTGGTACAGCAAGATGTTCAAACGAATCTGGTATTATTAATATTATGCGTTGACCTGTTTTTCTTGAAACTTTGTTGAAAAATAGCGTGGAAAAGCAATAACTTTGGCTCTGCTGATATTTGGAAGCAACAAAAACCACTTTCCATCATATTAGGTTGCAAGATTGCAGCCATCAGTAGCAATAAATTAAAACAGTATAGATACAGTGTATATTAAAAAAAATTTGCAATAACTTTCTTTTTTCAGTCGATATAGCACTATCAGAAATCAAAGTGATAAGTTGTTAGAACTTCTTGAACTGCCGTCGTTGATGCGAGAGGCTTTAAATGCTGAAGATTATGAAAGTGCATTAGATATATTCACTTTTGTTCGAAATTTAAGTAAAAGGTACTCTGTGATACCAATTGTTCAGGTAAATTAAAATAGCCCTAAGATATTACTATAGCTTACAAATGGATATGTTATAAACATTTATCATATTTTTCTTTTGTCTGGTCTGTAGTCTTATCAGTGTAGTTGAAGTTTACAAAGAACAATAAGACAAGTATGTGTTTTCCATTGTGAAAAAACCTTATTAACATTCTATAAGGTATCTGAAATTAAACGGACGAAACCAAAGTTGATATGTTTACTACTGGCTAAAAAGTAATATTTTCTACTTTGGTTTCTTTTATATAAACTCATGGGAATTGAATTCTACATTAAACTTCTTGATTGATTCTCTTTTGACAATACACCCAGAGATCTCACAGCACACATTAGTTTATACTTCATGTTAAGTGAGTATTGAAGCTCACAGATGACCTTCAAATGAGAATATAGGCGGTATTTACATTGTTAATGTTTATGGATTCTGGTGACCACTCAACAGCAGCTGAGCTGTGAGCTCATCCACCCATGTGAGAAAAAAAACATGTACAGAGAACTACCACATAACACATGTGGTTTATGGGTGGTATCTATTTGTGTGTTCTCACTTCTCTAGACATGTCTCACTTCTTTGACATTCTTGAGGTACCTAATGTACCAATGTGTGTTTGGTTACATTCACATTAAGTCTTTATGGTGTTATTGGTAGTATTATTGGTAACCACTAACAGCAGTATAATGGTGGTGTACGTGTTAGTGACTAACACTTTAATGGTGAAGGGAAAATTATAATAGAAGAAGTTTCATATTAACCAAGTATTAACATTTTCAGAATACAACAAATGAGATAATGACATTATGGTTTGAAACACTGTATCATCTCTTCAATCAGCTTCGTTATGATTTACCGCTTCCTCAGTGCCTACAAGTAATTCAAATATTTATTATTTATATTATACTACATTAATTTGCATAAACTTTACTACAAATATAGTTCTGAAAAAAAATAAACTGTACTTGATTTAAGATATTAGGTTACCTGCGCAGAGCAAACACAGTTTACAAATCAACAGATGAAGAAGAAAACAGTATGCAGTCTATAATAGGGAACAAAAATACAAGTTCTGATGGATTACACTTACATTTCTTAAAAGCGAGAAATGCTTGGTTTGAAAAAGCTTTAGTTGATGCTAGAAATTCTGAATGTAAGTAAATACAACTGATCTTATTAATAATTTAGAAATTTTAGCATAACAGTAAAGAGCATACTTTTGTTCCTATAGGTAGGTAGGTATATTTTGGTTTAATAAGTAAAAAGAATGAACGTTGGCATTTACAATTGTAATGTATTTGCTTTTCCAATCACTGAAACATTCACTGTTTAAGGTTTAATATTTTAGAAGAATTAGAAAATTTAAAGTATGTATACTCTTTAACTTTACTAAGAAGTTATCTATCTGTACCATTATACTTTTTGTAATCTCAAAATTGTATTAATAATAAATATTACAGCATCTGATAAAGTTCTAAGAAGAATTGTGGAATTGCATAGAATACATCTCTTCAATGTATTAACCCAGCATAAATCAATTTTCTTATCTGATGCTCAAGAATCCAAAGCAAGAGATGATGAATTGAGTGGAAACAGTGCTCTATCAAACTGGTTAAAATTAAAGGTATTCGCAATGAAACATATTTATATAATTTTATGTATGTTAAATTTTATAGCTTTTCTTTTGTTTAGGTGGAGATTTTCGCGCATATTTTAAACCAAAATTTGGGTAAAGAAGATGAAGCTAATTTCGAATCACTTTTGAACCAATGTATGTACCTTTGTCTTTCGTTCGGAAGAGTCGGCGCTGACATGCGGTGTGTCTTAACGCCGCTGTTTCGCGACTGCATACTAAAGCAATTCCATTCAAGTCTTGATAAAGTCAGTGATCACTTTGAGCAACAAATGCGTGCATACAAAGTTCCTAGTATCAAAAACTATCCAAGACCAATTACGGAAACGGCAAAGGGTCCTCCCGAAAACCTCCTTGATTACTATCCACTAGCAGAGTACTGCAATGGAATGCTTACAGTCTTGAATTCTTTAAGAGTTACAGCTCCATTAAACATAGCTAAAGAAGTGTATAACTCATATAAAGAATCATTAAACAGTACAGTCCAAGTATTGTTAAATTTCTATTACAGAGAACAACAAGGATTTACTGATGTGGAGAGACAAAATTACGTATCATTGTGTCTTTCCTTTAGAGATGATTTAATACCTTACATCACTAAATGTTTATCTCAATCGTTCCCTTCAACACAAATAGCAGAGTTGCTAGGTGTTACTTTGACTGTTCTTCAAGACAGTAAAATTTTGTACATAGACCTCCATGCAATGTGTGAACCTTTAAATGTCATTACTGGTTCAAATTAAATATCTAAACTATATGATAATATTTAATAAAATAAAATATGAATAATATGTATATTAATTGTTATAAAAATAAACAATATTACTTTTAGAAAAAAGTTTTAATCATTACATAACCTATAATATAATTTTAATGACAATGATATTTTAAAGTTCTTCCTAAGGCACCGCCTTTTACTTATTGTTAAAATAAAATTTGTATGTATTTAAGGAATGGTTCAAACAAAAAAATAGACCTACATAAATCTAATCCTCTTGACCCTAGATTTGCCATTGTCATTTCGAGACACCTCATAATAGTGTGTAACTTTATCAATGTTCCCAAGTGACTCTATAAATTCTTTGTCATGGGTGATAATAATAAACATAAAGTTTTTTTGCATCATTCGCTCTTGGACTATTTCACCAAGGGCTGCACACAAACTGTGAATGTTTTCTTGATCCAAATTTGTTGTTGGTTCATCCAAAGCAAGTATTCCAAACCTAAAATTATCAATAAGTTATTATACAATACTCCAGTTCCTATATAAAATAAATGTTTAAACGAGAAATTAAAAATGTTTTATAGCAAAAATGAATTACCTGGAACTGAATGTCTCTGCAAGTGCTAGCCTTATTATTAGGCAAGCGAGTACTTTTTGACCAGCACTACATCTTCCACGCATGTCGATTTCCACACCGTTTTTAGATTGTACTACTCTGTAATAATAATCGTTTGATTAATTAGGGTTTTTTATATAATTTAGGTAAATCTTGTCAAATTGACAAACCTTCAGATTTGTCAATTTGACAAGGTTGAAAAGTCGAAGTTATTGCCTAACAGCTGTCTTACCATTCACACAAAGCTGCCGTAAAGCAGGCTATACGGCAATAATACACTGGTGGTAGGACCTCTTGTGAGTCCGCACGGGTAGGTGCCGCCACCCCGCCTATTCCTGCCGTGAAGCAGTAATGCGTTTCCGTTTGAAGGTGGGGCAGCTGTTGTAACTATATTGAGACCTTAGAACTCATATCTCAAGGTGGGTAGCGGCATTTACGTTGTAGAAGTATATGGGCTCCAGTAACTAAGCGCTTAACACCAGGTGGGCTGTGAGCTCGTTCACCCATCTAAGCAATAAAAAAAATGGGTACCTACAACATTGAGCTGTCTGACCTATTCTTTCTGTTAATACAACTTTTTTAAGTGTTGCGTTTTTTTCGATAGGTTAGAGGTAGTTCATATGAGTACACAGGGTGTCTTATCTATTAGGTCAAAGATGCTTATATGCTTTATATTTTAATGCACTGTGTTGGACATACCTGTAGTCATATTTGCGTCGTTCTGATTCTACAGTTAAGTTGCCTTCAGTCTTGATTTCAATGTAATCAATATCATTACCTCTGTATATCTTTCGCCAAAGTTCCCTGAAGAATAGATCACACATAATAATTATGCATTTGATATAGGTATTGATAGCTGAGGTGTGCTCGCACCTTCCACAGAAATGGTTTGGTATTGGTTTGGAACAGGCAGGATGGCAGTGCCCTATAGGTTCAGAATATCCCTTAATAGTGATCACATATTTTTATCAAATATTTGTATGTTGTTACTTCAGCATTGAAGTTTTCGTGAACCTATGCAATGATTTAGATTCATACTGAAACTATTCATACCTGATAATCATGTTGATATTTTCCATTTTCTCTCTATGAAACTCCATAAGACATTTATTTAAAGCAACAGCATATTCCCTTATATCTTTGTCAATAGCTTTAGTTACATGTAGTTCATACATTTTTTCTCTAAATTTTTTTTCTATATCCTTAGATAAAGATTTTTCCAGTTCATTCCTGAAGCCTTTTAAACTTTTCTAAAATGCATAATACAAAGTACAATTGAATGCTTGTACAATTGAATTAAAATTACATATACAATTGATGTGCGATTGAATTGAACTTGACACTAATTAGCAAAAATGCACTGTTCAAAATTGTACCTTAAGTTCACTCAATGCTCCAGTGCACTCTGCCTTCTGTTGGAACAACTTCGTTTGCTTAATGATTAATGATTCTTTTTCATTTAATTCTTCTTTGTTAATACCATTCAATTTTTCATTCAATTCATCATCTTGTTTTTGCCAATTTGTGATGTCCGTTTGTGCTTTACGCAAACACAAGTTGTCATCTAGATCACGTTTATAAACCTGTAATTTATATTATATTATCAACTTTATTACCTATATTATATAATATCAACTTTTTTCCTTTCCTATTTGTTTTTAGCCTATGAGGCTATACCTGCTATGCTGTGACTGGTACGTGAGCACATGGGGCCCAACCTGAGAGATTGTGCTAAGACTGACCCTAGGAAAAGCAGTGTTTCGCAGAATCTAACTCTGTGTCAGAATCACGACCCACTGAGAAGATCCGGCGAGAAACTCAGTGGGTTGTGTCTATGGACTGGTTATCTCGTCGAGCTTTTCGTGGTAATCTACGAATTATACGAGGATGGTAACTGGTGCTTGAAGAGCCTAAAAACACCGAGAGCGGTACGGAAGATCCGACGAGACATGTTTTCCCCAACTTATAGAGAATATAGAGGACTGCAGAATGCTAATATCTTTTTAAAATTATGCACAAAAAAATAAATTAAATCAATAAAAAAAAATTACACTCTTACTCTTTATCTATACTCTTTTGTTTATTGAAGTCTGTGGTCATATTGAGAATAGATTATTATTGTTTATCTTTAATATTATTTGTCTATGGTGTAGTCTTGGCGAAATCTATGATTATATATAAGTATAATAAATAGTTTTGGACAATAGAACCATAATAATGTTCAAACTTTTAATTTTAAGAGGTCCCGCAGTAGTCGAAATTCGACTATAATTAATTGGAATTGTAAGTTTGTACACTATTATGATTGTATTTTATACTTCTATAATCACAAATTTCGCCAAGACTACACTATAAAAAATAATAACAAAGACAAACTACATATATTCTATTCTCAATTTGACAACAGACGTCAAGAATAAAAGTTTGACAATAACTAGTGTGCATGCGTGTGTGCGTCAAATACATGGTATGTAGTGTGTGTGATGTTTTCTTTATTGATTTAATGTATCTTTTATGCATTATTTAAAAAAAAAATATATTAGCATTGTGCACTTCTCTATATTCTCTATAAGTGTGGAAAATTTCATACTCCTCCGTATGCGCAATTTTCGTAAAAAGGGATACAAAGTTTTTGCTTCACGTATTAATATATAGATTAATGTACAATGCAATTGACACTTTGATCATATCTCACAAGGCGTGTGTCACGTTATTTTTATCTATGGACTTCGGTAACCAATGGTAACCACTTTAAGTATGGTAACCAAATGGGCTATGTGTTCATTCAAATAAATTGAAGTCCGTGTACATATTATTATGATTACTGATTCATCATTGCACTGCCTAAGCTGCTTTTACTACCATTATGTTTTAAGCATAAACTCCTTGTGTTGGAAATTTCACAACTAAGGGTGTAAAATAAGTAAGTAAGAAGCACAAAATTCTATGTATGCATTTGCTTCTGGTTACAAACAAAGACATACACGATTTTCATAATTTTACATCTAAGAGGGTGAATTAGATACTTCTGACAAGGTATTGGAATAGGCTACAAGCAAAAATTTTAAGATCAAGCACCTCTTGCTTTGCAATTTCATCTTTAAGAGTATCAATTTTTTTTGTGAGCACTTGTCTGTCAGTCATGATTTGTTTTTGTTTTTCCATTAATTTATCGTTTGCTTCTTGTATCTTCTCCATTTCACGGGGTACATTCTTTTTTTTATGCTGTTGGATCTCAGCATCGAGAGACTTTACTTTATTGAAAGCTACTTCGACTTTTGCAATATAGGCACTTCCAGCCTCAATCAAATCTCTGTAATAAATAAATAACGAATTTAAAAAAAAAAAATTAGATGCAGAAACGGCGAGTGTGCACGCGCGTGCATAAGTTTAAAAATTCAACAAATTTTAAATTTAAGTCTTATTTTGTTTAAAATGAAGTTATTGATAAAAAATATATATTCTATGGCATAATATGTGACCCAATCCATAATTTTTCTTCCCTCTACGGGAATCGCTTGAACATAAATTATTAACATCTTCAGGGATATAATATGTGTATGTTCAGTTTTTTCTTAATTATTTATATATTTAACTCTACGCTAAATGACCGCATAAAATATGTAGTCACATTTTTTAAAGTGCCTAATTAAAATTTTGTTTATTTTAGCAAATCGCAATAAAGAATAAATTATATTAATGTTTTTGGTACTTTAAAATATTCGTCTCTAAAACTGTTAAGGGTAAGAATTAAAATGATTAAGGTGTAAATAAGGGTAGAAAGGACATGGGCCACTCCCCATACATTGCACGGGCCACTAAACGAAGTTCAAGGGCAGTAATGAAATTAAGTTTAAATAACAGACTATATCCTTTTTATTATAAACAAATTAAAATCAATATTGTTCATGGGGATACAGATATTTTTTAAAAATAAGATAAGATTTTTAGGTTACCTATATCATGTGATTTGCTGTCAATACACTTACACTTTAACATCATCATCAGCTTAAATATTATTTATATTACTATACTTTATAACACCGACCTTATTCAATGAACGCCAAGACTTAATTTATGCACAAAAACTATAATAAGCACGTATATCGCAACGAAACACTTAATATCCGCAATGCGCGCGATTTTAAAGTATAAAAATAGATTTTTGTTTAGATATGTNTTGCTGTCAATACACTTACACTTTAACATCATCATCAGCTTAAATATTATTTATATTACTATACTTTATAACACCGACCTTATTCAATGAACGCCAAGACTTAATTTATGCACAAAAACTATAATAAGCACGTATATCGCAACGAAACACTTAATATCCGCAATGCGCGCGATTTTAAAGTATAAAAATAGATTTTTGTTTAGATATGTTTTATGCTAGTTTTAAAATCCATTAATTAAATATGTTAATATATTTTGCTAGTTGTTTGCAATATAATGTCTTTTTTAAGAAGATTTAATGTGAATTGTTTAAAATATAAATATATTTTACCTATGCCAACTCCTTCAATAATTATCAATGTAGATTAGTCATGCTAATTTCTTTATATTTATGATTTTATTTATCCCATCATTAAAATACCCTTAAATTTTATAATAAGTATGTAAAAATGAAATGTTTTTTCTATAGATATTTCATTCGTGTCCTTGAGAACACTAGTAGCTGGGCCGAAAATGTCCCATGTCTTTTGCTGGTAGTAGAATATTTTCTGACGACAGCCCTATTCAAATATTCTTCTGATAACATAACAGCGCCACAAATGTTTCTCATCATGTCTAAGCTTTGTAGCAATAAAAAAAAAGTAAAAGTACCTGTTCCTTTTCACTACTTCGCTCTTAGCATCGATTTTTTCTTTAAGTGCGACTTCCAGTGGGGTTATAGCTTCTTTCAGTTCTTTTAGTTCGGTTTCTAGTCTCTCACAATCTGATTGCAGTTGCTTTTTAGATTCCTCGAGATTTACGATGTCTTGAACCTGGAATAGCGAACTAGTTAGATAGTATGGTTCGAATAACAATACACTAATTTTTACCTCTAAAATAACATAAGATCATCTTTTCGGTATTACATTAAACTATAATTATATTGATATTATAGTATACAATGATATCATCATCATTCATCATTATCCTGCCCTTCTCCCAGTCACCTGGGGTCGGCGCAACATGTTTTCTCCTTCCATAATCTTCTATCATATACCATTTCTTCGCTCACTCCCCTCTTACCCATATCGTCTTTCACAGAATCCATCCATTTCTTCTTAGGTCTACCTCTTCCTCTATATCCTTCCACATTCATAGTTAACACTCTCTTAACAACCTCATTTTCATGATTCATTTCAATGATATATTATACAATGATACAATGATATATTGAATTTAATTAACTCTGCCTGTATTGTGAACATAGTCATAGCATAGACATTAAAGTAATTTTTAGTTTGAGGTTGAAAGGATATGGTACATATTGACATACACATACATATGACCGAACACTGGAACACAGAATGACTTACCAATTAGATCTCTGACGATTTTTCAAAGAGCAACTATAGAACAAATTAAGACATATTCCTTGCTTGATAAAAAATGGCAGTAATGCATAGCTTTGGCACTTCAATTCTTTCTCCTTCTAATTTTGAAGAGAGCTAACAACAGGTGCTAAGTTTGATTTTGTATTTCAACCAATCAACAATCATTAAATAAACTTAACTTTAATAGTTGAATTTTTAATTTCTCATAAAGTGTTTGTTCACAAAAAGCTACAAGCACTTAGTAAATTATAAGAGCATGGGAGTACACAAAATTTATTGTGTTGGATGAGTAGTTTCACTAATACCTAGCATAAATTCAGCATATTGGCAGGGTGTCTAACTGCCAAGTACTAAGTATTTACCTTTTTCTGTGTATTTAACAATTCTTCCTTAGCTTTAGTTTTTTTTTCATATAATGTTTGCAGTTTCTTGTTGTGTGCATTTAATTTCTTCTGTGTAGTTTTTACGCGATTCCTTAGGGTGCTAATTTTTTGCTTAAAATCCACTTGCTTGGCAGTCGCAACATCCAACGTCATTTCTGAATCAACATCGCCACATTGTTCTTTTACTGCCTCAAACTAAAAAGATATGAATTATCAATCAATTAAGATAATAAAAAAATGGAAGAACATATTGATTTTCAAAACATTTTCTAGAATATATGTTTAAATTCTAAAATGTTTCAACAACAGTAACATATTTTTCATAGCTTACCTTTTTGGTGACCGTTTTAATTTCTTGTATATAGCGGTCAAGCATCGGCATATCCCCGTGTATTTGCTTAGCAGTGGTCATCTTTTGCTCTGGTTCAATCAGAGACATGGTTATTTCTTCCACTGTTTCATTTAGAGTCTTAATTTGCTAAAAATAAAAATTAATCTGATTACTGCATTTTTATTCTTGTTTGGAATATTTAAATAAATAAATATACGAGTCAGTTAAATTCTGACTATATTTGTAATAAAGGAGGACCTATTTCTAAAACTGGAATGCAATTTCTTCATGGCAGAAATATGCAGGATGGTGGAAACACCCTTCACAAACCTAGAAACCTAAAAATGACCCCGCGAGCTACCCGTAAAATCGCTCTCTCCTGCGACATATCTCGGCCGAAGTCCCGCAAAGTTCCGCTCTCTCCCCGGTACTTTTTAGCCCATTTATTAACGACATACCCCGGTGGCCGGCTGGGTAGTTAGCCCCTTTTGCGGATGATACGGCTATCTACTACTCTAGTAGGATGATGTTGTTCAATCAACTCCAGATCGCTGCAACCAATTTAGGACAGAGGTTCCGGAAGTGGCGCATCGACATCAACCCCAGCCTTATTAAATAGTGCGTAATTAAACATTAAATTACGTAACATAACATTAGATACGAGATGCCCAATCGTATTATCATAAATAGATAAATACTTAAATTACTATTCAGGACTTCACGAAATTTGACAGGATAATTTGGTACACTTCACGAAATTTGAAATTACATATATTGTAAATACTCACAGTATCAACATCAACAATTCGTTTCTCCAGCTGGGGGATTTCCGTATCTTTAAGAGTGGTTATTTTCTCATTTAAAGACTTCATACTGAGTATTTCATCTTTTTTAGCTGACGCTCTTTGGAGATCTTCAGTAACTTTTTCAAGTTTACCCGGCACATTCATAACTTGAGTTGTTAGTTGTGTTACTAAGTCGGTTACCTAGACATAACCAAATTATAGTGACAATTACAAATTTGTCAATATATATTTAGCACGTTGTATGCTTTACAACCCACCAGTGGGCAAAGCGTAATTCCCCTAACAAATATTTTTTGAGGGAGAAGTTGCTTGACATAATCTTTTTATAAGAAACGCAATATTATATTTATTGGTTTTTATATTAAGTGCTGTTTTATTTCAATTTTTTTTACAGAATTTAAAACATTTTCTGTAAATTTTAATATTTTATGGGCTTTTTTATTGCTTAAATGGGTGGACGAGTTCCCGGCTCACCTGGTGTTAAGTAGTTATCAGAGCCCATAAACACCTACGGCGTAAATGCTGCCACCCACCTCGAGACATGAGTTCTTAGGTTTTAGTTTTTACAGTACAACGGCTGTCCCACCCTTCAAACTGAAACGCATTACTGCTTCACGGCAGAAATAGGCAGGGTGGTGGTACCTACCCGTGCGGACTCACAAGATGTCCTACCACCAGTAATTACGCAAATTTTATTTTTGCGGGTATTATTTTTATTTTACAAGATGTTATTCCTTTACCATGGAAGTCAATTGTGAACATTTGCTAAGTACGTATTTCATTAAAAAAATTGATACCCGCCTGCGAGATTCGAACAGCGGTGCATCGCTACATACGAAAGCACCGGAGGTCTTATCCTTTAGGTCAGTCTTTCCCAAAGTGGGCGATAACGCCCCCTTGTGGGCGCTGCAAGCCTAAAGGGGGGCGGTAAAAGACCCAGAAAAAAAAATGGGGGCGTTGTGTAGAAGCTTGAGAGGCGATTTGTAATTTCATCTAGGAGGACTCTGAGACACCAACTGAGCTCTCGCTATAGTGGTTTTTAAGTAGGTGAAAAAATGGGGGCGCTAAAATATAATTTATTCTCAAAGTGGGCAGTACACAAAATAAGCTTGGGAGCCCCTGCTTTAGGCCAAGATGACTTCATAGTCATCAAGTCATTCAAGTCATGTCATGTAATAATGTAGATGAGAAGATGCAAGAAATTGTGTTTTGCCCTATGAGATTGTTATATTACTTACCTCAGACTCGTTTTCGAAGCCGCGATTGCATAATGGACAGCAACTGTTATCTTTAAGTTGCCCTTTATATTTGTTTATGATGAACATTGAAGATTGTAAAACATTTTGTTCATCCTACAATATAAATGCATTTTAAAGATTTTTGTATTTTTTAATAAAAACTAAACCAATTGTATACTCAATATTATAGATACAACTTATTTAACATAATACCAATTTACGTAATAAATAAAAAGCGTTCAAGTAATTGTCATTTGATTAAGACAACCATTTTAATTTTTATTCTTTATTCTTTTTTACTCAATTGTTAAGAAAATTAATAGTAATTAATCTGTGCAATAATACCTGAAGTTTTTCTACTGTGGTTGTATATTTAGATAACGTAACATCATAGGGCTGGGTTCCGCACGCCTTGTATATTTTGTCTTCGGCGTTAGTCAGTTCACTGCGTCGTTCGTTTAAAGATTCACGAATATGTTTTCGCTCCGCTTCCAAAGTCGTTATCTAAAAAAATTTAAATGAATTTCATTCATATTTAATTATTTCATTCATTAATTACTTTTGTCGGCTGATGAATGAATTTAAATGAAACATCTTTCTACCTCTATCTGTTTTTCTTTCAATTTTTTCTTCAGGGTTTCAACTTCATTTCGCACTTCACACTCAAATTTGTTGATTGTCACAGCAAAGTCTTTTTCGGGTACATTACCAAGCAGTTCCATCAGGGCCGTCTTGTGTTTGTTTTTAAGAACAATTAACTGTTTTTCTTTAGTTTTGAGATTCTCTTCGATCATTTCCTTTTCTTTCAATTTAGCAGTTTGCTTTTGAAGTTTGGTTATCTGGGAAGTTTTATACAGTTAAATGGTATGCAACATATTTAATTATTATCTACCATGGGAATTTGCTTGAAAACATAAATAATAAACACATCCACAGCTACCTTTTGACTAAGCTCATCCATTTCTTGTTCATATTGTTCCACAGCTTTCTCATCTTCGTTGATTTCTTGCTGACATTCTTCAATGTTTAATTCGTTTTCAGCTTGTTTGTGTTCTCTGTTTTAGCATGAAATATTTTATTTTGTTATTGTCAATATATATTTGTTCATTTATTAATACTTACATTCCATTTTAATTAACTTATAGTTATATAAATTATGTTATTAGTAAATGGTGAACGCCTTTATAGTGTAAATCTGATTTATATTGAATTAACAGTTGTTGTACTTTTTATTCAGGATTAATTATTGCTAAAATAGGCTGAATCAATGAAACAGTGTGGGCTTACAACAAAGTCTTTATCTTTTGTTCAAAAATTTAACCAAGCTTCAATTTAACTAGGGGGGTTCCCCTAGTTAGGTTGCAGAGTGAAGACACTATTTCTTCTAGGATGGACAAAAAGGCCGTAATGCAATAAGAACACTGCGGGCTAGCATAATAAAATCCTAGTTAGTAGGCAATGTAATTAGAAGATCTAGATAGACTACGAGCGAAATATGTAATATAAAATATTAATTTGACTTACTCTTCAACTGCCAGCAACTTCTTTTCAATTAATTCTAGTTTATCTTTTGATTGATTTGCTGATGTTATATCCTTTTCTATTTTAGTAATCTCTTTTTTCTTCTTATTTATCTCTCCTTCTTTGCTATTGATTTTTTGTGTATGACCAGACTAGAAAATAATCTTTAATGTAAATAAATCATATTGAAAGACACTTTGCTTTGTTAAATGTTACATTTACAATACAATATTAAATTTAAATGTAAAAATTAAATCAGGGTTTTTTAAATGTAAATTACTCCATAAAATTACGAATTAAACTTTTCTCTTACTTATTTTCGCTTTGACAATTAAGTAATAGACATCAGTATTATAATATGATGGTTTTGCAAAAAATATGAATTGTTAAATAAAAGAACATTTGTGATATACAACAATTTTAGTGGTTAGGTAACTGTTTTACAGTTTTATTTATCATGTTAAGAATTGTGATGATTATACAGATTGAAGAATTAAGTGGAAAACCGAACGTGTAGGCGTGTAGCCCACAGGACTCAGCCTGGGAGTCTTTGCTAATATCTGCCCTAGCAAAAGCAGTCCTTCACTGAATCTACCACCGGATGGGAATCGCGACCCATTGAGAATATCCGGCGAGAAACTCAGTAGGCTGTGTCTGTGGGTTAATTTTCACAACGGACCCTTCGTCACATTCGACGAGTTCGACAAGAACGGTGACTGATGCTAGGAATGCCTAAAGTACCAATAGTGGATCGTGAGGATTCAATACGACGTGTTATTTACCAAGGCTACACGACATTCATCAACGAATCCCTGCGCTTTCTTTTCTTCTTCATCAGCTTGTGATTTTTGCACTTTATGGTCACTTTTTAGACTTTCTACTTTTTCCAAAATAGTTTTTGTGGCTTTCTCTGCTTCCTCGTTTGTTTGAACTTCAGTGATGTTTTCAATTTCTAAAGACAACAAAACCAACATAATAAACATATCCATACTTTACAATACTGTTTAAATGTTTAGAGATATTTCATATAAGTTCATATTAGTATTAAGTTTTATATCACATGAAACACAGATCATGTGAGACACAAAATCTAAATATCTATTGTATTATCCTGGTGCTTCACAGTAGTAATGCACACAATGGTAGTATGTAGTAGCAGCTTATAGAGCTGTGCAAGTTATGGAGAATTTACTAACACTTCTTGAATTTCATGAAACAATTACAATAACAAACTTACAACTTCATTGTTGAACATATTTATGGACAAAAAAAAATTGTTTTTGCTGTGAGATTCAGATTCAAGTATTGCATCACTCAAAATGAATCCACCTTCATATCAATTAGGCAATGGATGCCTTTGTTGTTGTTATCTGTACAACAATCTCAATTGATTTTAATATAATTACCAGCAATTTTTGCAGTTTCGACAATCTGTTCATTTCTCTTATCAATCTTCTCTTGATTTTGACTTTCCAATAATATAAATTTGTTGTACTCTATCTCGTTTGAAGACTTCTCATTGGCAATTTTTTCTTCTTCCTTGTTGAATGATGTGTTCTTTTTGTATGAATCTTCAAGCTCTTTTTGTTTAGCTTTAACTGTAGTTGCGTAGTTTTCTGAAAGAAGATAATTTTGAGTCTTTTGTATACCTTTTTGAGGGTATTTTTCAAAGCAGACACAGAATTTTCTACTTACTTATATTTTGTTCCAATTCATCAAGTGCTCCTTCAAACAAAGTCTTGATGTTGTTTTTTAGTTTCTCCTCTTCTGTTCGAGCTTGCTCTAGTCTAGTAAGATAATCGTTTTTATTATTGATCAATAGATGACTTTTGTTATAAAGGTAACACTTTCTCCTCAAAGTCAATAATAATGTATGATGTAACTTATAGTATAATTTACTCTTAATTAATTTTATTGTTTACTAGATTCAATTACTACAAAGACCTTAGAGAACTTCAGACCAAAACAATAAAGATGTTTGTTTGTTAGCCAAAGTTTTTAAGGCACTGTTATCTGAATTTCACTGTCCAATGTTTGATAAACAAGGACTTCTCAGCTAATTGACATCTTCAAATTGAATTTATTTCAAGAGTGTGTAGATAAATGATCTGAGAAGAACCATCCTAACTCTTTTAAGAAGTTAGCTACCCACCTTAGGGAATGGTCTAGGTCTGAAATTCGCCATGAAAATGAAACCTATCATGAGACACAAGATTGTAGTTTAATTAAAATTTAATTCACTATACTTTAACAATGCACACAATTTATAATTAGAAAAAAATGGATCACAGTACCAGTGGTGTCTAGAGAAAGTGAGTGGCAGTTTTATACTGAGTAGACGAAGTATCACAGTTCACAAAAAAAAAATGCTTAGTAAAACAACAAGTATTTATGTATGGTTAAATAAATGAACAATATCTTCTATTTACTTTAAGTAATTAGTTATATTTTGGCTTCTGCAAGTGTATATACATACGGACATTAACATGACTTCTAAATAAAGTATATTATTAACACAACCATTATACCTCATCTTAATTTTTTCTCGTTTGGTTTCATAACTCAGTAAGTTGTTCTCGAGTGTTTTGATAGCACTTAATTTTTCATTAACTGGTTTTAATTCTTGTGTTAGTTCTGTTACTTTTATTTCAGTTTGGGAGATATTTGTCTCTGTATTAACTACATTAAGTTTTTTCTTGTCTAAATCTTGTTTCTTCTCTGTTAAATGAGCCACTTCTTGTTCTAAAAATCAAAACATTTTGTTGATAAATATATTCACAAAAAATCCTCCTAATACAGTAGAATTAAATTATGGAACTCATTAATCTAACAGCTTATATGTGGAATCCAATTTGTATACTGAATATTAACTCACCAAGCAACTTTAAGTTCTGTGCATAATCCTTTCTTATTTTTTTTAAACGATCTAAGCAATCACTGTATTTATCAGCATCAAAAATTTCATCAAATCTTTCCTTAACCTTTTTTCCTTCATCGAGTGGCCAGCTTGAATCTTCTTGGTGGCAAAATACGACAGAATTTAGTATGGCTTTTGAAACCCCTGGAAAATAAATAATTAAATTTTATTTGCAATTTCTAAACTACTAATATTTTCAATAATTTTCAAGAGAACTTATTGAATTGAGATGCTGTCTGCACTGACCGGGTAATGATTTAAAGTACTTTGCTAACTGGAAGAAATAAAGTTGAGTTACTAAGTCCTACAGAGGTACCCTGAAACATGAAATTCTGGTTTTATTGAATCTGCTTAAGTACTGAGCTTATTTTCACATATTTTGCAGAAATTGGTAATCGCGTTTTGAAAAAAGTACCTTATAGAAAACTTTAACTAGTAAAAGAATGCAAAAATCAATGCAAACTTTACAGCAAAATAATTTTAAATGGTTAAGTATTTATAAATTTTATTAACTTATTAAAAACTTATTCATACAGTTGTTAAGACACGTCCATACATGTTGATACCTAATGCTACATATTAAAACTGCACAATAATCAGTATTCCAACACTTGCACCTTATACATATTAATGGAGTCTATTTATCGATACTTAACACTCAAAGATGTAAACAAAAATGCATGAATGCTTTCTAGATCAAGTTATCAGTCTTTTCTAACATATACGACAAAAACCTAAATTGCGTTAACTACATTTTTAAGACTATATAGCTTGCATATAATAGCATTGAAACTGTTAGTCTGCTGAGAAATGACACTCACTCAATGAAACAACTTACCTTATTACTCACTATAACTAACAAATTCAATTAAATTCAAATTAGGTTACCAAGTTCCTCATGCATAAGGATGTCCAAATCGGCACATCTTGAAGATACATCTTTTGTTTTGCCACTTTCATCAACAGTAGAAAGAAAGGAATCCAGGGTTTGAAATTTGGTCTTTTTCTTAGCTAAGGCAGTCACCTTCATGGACCTTGTCACCTCCAACTGTTTGTCTTTTGCATTGACAATCTACAAATATGATGGTTAATATTTTTATACTGTTATAAATAGCACGCTCTTTTAATTAGAATCATATCTCAAAGTTCTAGTGTTTAGCTAACCTTTAATTTCACTTGACCGAGTACTTCTGTTGATCTATTCACTTTTGCATCATGAACAAAGCATTCGTTCCTGCTACCAGGCGGCATTTGACCAGTGATTGCATATCTTAAGCACTCAATTATTGTTGTTTTACCACATCCATTTTGCCCTAATATCAGCGTTAATGGAGAATCAAATAGTATGCGTTGTTCGTCGGTATCTTCAGGTCCAAAACTTCTTATTCCTCTAATTGCTAGCGATTTCACTCCCGCCATATTGTACGTTAGGTTTTCTTACGATCTAACCTTAACAAACAGTTTAATTATACTCAAAATACCAAATAAAGTCCCATGCCAAACTTAATCAGAAAGCCGGGACGCGCGCCATTCACTTCTGTTTTAGTAAAAAGGCGGCCGAAATGCGAAAGGGTACGAGCAGTGCTACCAGACCCAAAAAAAATAATAGCCCCAAAGCTAAATTAAAGTATCGCCTTAATTCAAAACTTCATCAGAAAGCAAGTGGTGTAGATAATTTTTTATTTACAAAATACCACCTTCAGCTTCACCCGTTTTAACTAGCGTTCTTATTTGATCTCGAAGTTACTCCCGTAAGCATCGGGAAATCGTTATTTTGATATTCAGGTATCAACGTATTACATAGAAGTCGATGTATAATTAAATAACGATTTTTTTGTGCCAGTTGTGCTGAAAGTGAAGTAGGAATCTTTCAATATTTCACAGTTAAATTATTAAAAGTATATCTCGTTATTTCAGCTTTGTCGGGCTTTCTGTCTGTACTGAATTCTGCTTGTCCAATGATCTATAATTATATTTGTGTAGAACGTTGTCAGGCTTTAAGTCGCAGACATAACATTGTGAAAGTTCAGTTACTTTTGACCTTCAAAAATAGAGTAATTTTTGAAAAAAAATAGAGTCAAATTTTTGTTAAATTTAATTAATATCTTGGTTGCGGACATTGCAACACAATGCACCGGTTGCACCCACCCTTGTAACCGAAACGCATTACATTTACGGCAGAAATAGGCATGGTGGTGGTATCTACCCGTGTGGACTCACAAGACCACCAGTAAATAGTATTGGTGGAAAAGGTAAAGATTGGTGGTAAAAAGGATGGATGAAGAATTACTGGTGGCCCAGAGGCCTTTTCAGTTTCACCTTTCAGTTTCACTTTTCAGTTTCGTGGGCGAGCAAAGGCTCCGCCAGGAGGGAAGGGATTTGCTAACAGATGTCCAAGCATCGCTGGAACAGACCTAACAATTCATGGGCAGCTGCTTCGCCAATGAATCTACTAGCGGTTCGGAATTGCGACCTGCTGATATCTGGCGAGAAACTTAACGGGCTGATGTAATTTTTCTTTCCTACCTAAGCTGAGAGCCTTGAGAGGCTATTTCAGCGTAACCTTAACTAGTAGGTGAGCTCACGGCGCTCAAACCTGACGACGTTGCTAACACGAACCCTGGCAAGAGCCGTGCTTCGCAGAATCTACTACCGGAACGAAAACGCGACCCACTGAGAAGATCCTTCAAACCGAAACGCATAACTGCTTCACGGCAGAAATAGGCAGGGCGGTGGTACCCACCCGCGCGGACTCACAAGAGGTCCTACCACCAGTGATCATTTGTTTAATTAATTTTAAATAAATAAAAAACGAACAAACAATTTTACACTCGAACATTAACGAACAAACGACGAACAAATAGTAAAAAAAAAAATCCGATAATAAAAAAGGGGCTAAATTTACTGAGCCTCAAAAATCAAAACCAAAATCGCTCTTGATTTGTTTTTTTTAAAGGGATTTTATGACCTGGTAACTAAGACCTTTAGATCATGTCTTATTTTAATTTATATTCTTATTTTTATGAAAAATGATAATATGGAATGAAATATAATCTCAGTAAAATGGTGGTCATTTACTAAGATTTATTCAGTGGACTTTTTGGAGGATCCCGAGAAGGTACGTTCAGCGGCTTTGTTTAATTTTTCCACATTTGTGCACTTTCACAGATATTAAACAGTTAATAAACCACCGTTACTACACATTTAAACCTGAAGAAACACTAAATAGACAAAATAAAACAAATCACACAACTTCACTTCTTGCGTTCCCGCCAAAAAGTCCCTCTTGATTTAACATTTAAGTTCATAGACATAGATTATACACTTAATATGTTCATAGATAATACAACTTACTTTTAAAAAGTCGATAAATTTGTCGACCGCGTATGTAACTTTAATGTTATTTTAATGTTGACAAAAAACTGTCAAGTTAGTATTTTGGAAACAAATCTGGGTGAGTAAATTTTGTTTTGAAAGTAAATTAATTTTATAGTGATATTGCAAAAATAATTATGTAGGGTTATTGAGAAAATGCGATACCAATACAATTATGACCCTTTAAACATGAAACAAAGTTATTCTGACAAATTGTCACTCAAGTCAATATTAGTTAAATAAAATAGGCTGTCACTAAGATGTTACAAATGCTTGTTTTGTTATTAGCAAATTTGACCAAACACCACTTATGTCTGTATCAAGGTAGGTAAATATAGTTACACTCAGAAAGTTAAATTTATTGTGGCCTTTAATTTATATAAATTCTATTTGCCATTCATAATTTAAGAAAATTTATTTTTCTGTACCAGCTGCCACTGTTTTTATGAAAAATTGCTGCATATTTTTTATTGTAATCGATCACTGGAAACTATATTTTAAATTAACCTTTTATTGTTTTAAAAAAATGCATGTTTTTAAGTATTTCATTCTAAATATACATCTATATATATCTAAATAATGGGTATCTTATGAACTAATTCTAAATGATCATCTTACATTTTAAAATCTTGTCTTGTTTACTCAACTACAATTTTGTTTCAAATTTAAAGCCTAGCTTGAATGTATGACTTAATTTATTTTACTTTATCGCTACGTCACTGGCTCCCAGTAAGAATGACTTTTCCCAATTTGATAACCAGGTGATAATTTTATTTTAATAAATAAAATATGTTTGTAAAGACATATGTACCAATAGGGTTGCCGTAAAAATGTTCATGGCTATTATTATTAAAATTAATAAAAGATAAATATTTTTTGCCAAACGACTCATGGTCTAATTCAAAGTATATAACATTCCCTTAATGCAGTTGATCGGTAGGTTACCTTTTTCTGTTCCATATTACCTGGTAGCCACCTACAAACAGCTAAATTGATAATAGTAGTTGGGCTCATCTGCTTAAAATGATAAATATGTATTAGAATGTAGGCAATTTTACCTGTCCTGGTGAAACTGGAAAGGCCTACGGGCCACCAGTAATCCTTCAATCATAAAAAAAAGGTATTTTTATTGCTAGTAGAGTAATAGAGGGTTGCTCGTCAAAATTTGTTCATAGATGTCGGTAGCTGGGCTTTGAAGGGACAGTTCAGGAAAATAAATAAATAGTAACAACCTCAATTGTATCAATTACACAGAATTAGCATTGAAGTTAGGATCCAATCTTTGCATATTTTTTTTCGGGCCGGGGGCTGAACCTCCTACGAGGTCCCCGCGCCTAGGGGGCGCGCGGGGTATGTGGGACTCAACGATCTGCAAGGTGTTGAAAGTAGACCGCGGCCCAAGGAATTTTAGGGCTCACCCACGACTCCCCTGCACTCTTACAACCGACGTCTGATCTCCGTCCGGGGTCACAACCCGGTCAGAGTAGGGGGTTCCCGCGGTCAACACTACAACCAGACACGCGGCGCCACCCCGAGGACGCTCGACCGACGGGTCGGCGAGGCGATAGTCGACAACCAACGACGTCGGTCTCCGCGGTACGGCGGCCCTACCAGGCCGCCCGGGAGATGCCGCTGGTGTTCCGGGATACCCCGCTGGGCCAGAACCAGCCTGCCGTTCGGAACGCGATACACCGCCGACCGGGTTGCTCTTCCAGTATGTTCGGCGACGACAACGACGACGAAAATGCGGACCGCATCGCAGTCCGCAGCCGCCGACGCGTCGTCCCGTCCTCGTGATGCCAGCGCGCTAGAGTGACAGTAGCGTGCGGCGCAGTCTCAACCCCCCTTAAGTCGCCCCGTAACCATCATCGGGAGGAGACTGCCTCATCCAATCTTTGCCTAAGCCTACCTGCTTTCCATATGTACACAGGATCCGATTATATTAATGCGTTACAACAGAGGAAAAATACAGTTTACATTAGTTTATTTCAAGTATACTGACTGCACTACTATGTGAGTTTAATTCGCAAAAATGTTATACATTGTTACCCACATTTTGTGTAATGATGTGTCAGGATGCTGGTAGAGTTGTCTTATCTCTGTAGCACCGTAGAAATGTTTGCAAAAGCTTAAATTTACTGTGTTAAAACCTTAACAGCAGTGGGGTAGCGATGCGCATCCTTAGTGATTACAGTTTGGTTGGCCCTAACAGCAACCTGAATATGATTGAGAGGAGGCTGGACTGTTCATAATATTATGTGAGTCACTGCAGCAAGGTCTCAGCTATGATTTTTACCTTGAAGCACTGAGTCATTTTAATTTGAATTTACATCTTTACTAACAGATGCTGTATATTATTCTGTTACTAATATTTTTGATTTTAAGTTATTTTAATATAATGTATATGAACTACTTATTATTATTTAAAAATATATTTCTTAAGACTGTATTAAATATTCAGTATTTAAAAAAGTATTAAAAAATATCATGCCCCTAGTGGTTACAACTACAAAGTCAGATACCTCCTCACGATGAACAGCATATTGCAAATTACTGATTCTGCTCTTAATCCATTAGATAATGAAAAAGTTGTTCAAAGAAGAAGAAATTGTGCACAGACACCGATTATTAATTATGATAACGGTTTATCATAGTGTATTCAACCTAGAATTATGTACTTGATTACTTTGTAATATTATTAGTTAATGTTATATTATTATATTGAGATTAATATCTTAAATGTACTTATGGTTTTTCACAGGTCGATCGTCATAGAAAATGGCATCAACTACAATGATCGAGACTGTTACCATAACAAGGCCATTAAAGGTAGGAAATAATGCACATTAAAATATTATCATTCTTCTCATGCCATGCATAGGTTTTAGCGATAGGCAGCGGCTTGGCTCTGCCCCTGGCATTGCTGAAGTCCATGGGCGACGGTAACCACTCACCATCAGGTGGGCCGTATGCCCGTCTGCCTACAAAGGCAATAAAAAAAAAAAAAATGCAGTGAAACATTCCTGAACGTCAAACATACAGTACCTCATGTATGTTTGACGATATATGACATGTCCTTCTTCAAACGAGGCTTGTCGAGAGTGTTAAGCGGTAGGCAGCGGCCTGGCTCTGCCCCTGGCATTGCTGAAGTCTATGGGTGAAGGTAACCACTCACCATCAGGTGGGCCGTATGCTCGTCTGCCTATGTCTGCAAGGGCAATAAAAAAAAGTGTGTGAAAGTGTCGCTACAAGCTAAGCATCATCACTATCACAATTGTAACAGATTCATATCTGTTGAACCCTCAATCAAAAGTAAATACTGCAGTAAAGACTGATGGTAGGTTGTCCACAAATCACAATACTCGTTCGATTCACGACGAATTTAAACAATGTAACCAGTGGCTGATTTGCAGTCTCGACCGCCCTAGGCCCAAGTCATGAGTCGTCCCTTTCTCAGCATCCAGCATATAGACTATATAATGAAATTACTTTATTGTCAACCTTTATCTAAATAGATTTAGAAACTTGGAAAAAAATAGTTTTACGCGGTATATATTGCACCATGCAGTGCAGTCCGCCCGCCATACGTTATAATAAGTTTTTTGACACGTTTGGGGCCGCCCCTAAATCTGGCCGCCCTAGGCCTGGGCCTACCGGGCCTTAGGGTAAATCCGCCACTGAATGTAACCCAAACGCTAGGGTCAAAATATTTTAACAGGGTTCTATCTTTATTGCTCTAGTTGTGGCTCCTATTTATATATCAATAGGAGATCAATATATCAGGCAATGTGATTTAGAAATTTTGCGAATGATTTTTTTTCGCGTGTGATTTTCATACACTACGTTATCCTTGATATAACCTGCATCGTGAAAGTGCGAAACGGAATAAGTGATAATTAGAGGTATAGTTTATTAAACGCTTAGAAAAGGATCTATTAAGAACACAAAAATGCAAAAGTAAAGTTGGAAGTCTTATTGCTTCAATCAATCTCTTCAAGACAACCATTGAGCGAATATAAGATTGAAGAGACTGCTGTGCATCTGAATTTACGTTAATAATATTGGTGAAATATTTAGTGAAATACTAGGCCTTCTCACTAGGCCCTGGGTCGCGTTTCAGATCCTGTGGTAGATTCTGCGAAGCACGGCTTTTGCTAGGATTCGTGTTAGCGGTTGTGTCAGATTTGAGCCCCGTGAGCTCACCTACTAGCCCGGTGACGCTGATATGGTCTCTTTAGACCATCAAACTTAACTAGGAAAAAAAAAATTGGCTAGGTTTACAAAATGTATAGATACGCAATGGCTACATACATTTATCATTGCAGAATACGTACATAAATTGTAAAATAACTAATCCATATATTTAATATAAATAAATAAATACAAATCATAATATGTTGTTTAAGATATAAGCACAAAAGTATAAGATTGGGTAATAGTTCTAAGTAAAACCAATTGCCTACGCAGTTAGTTTTACTTTATAATGTGGAGTGCGTTATAGATGTACATTATAGATTAATACGGGCTGTTTTTTTTCTAAATTATGAACTAAGTTTTCTAAGGAGCAAAAGTTTTTTTTAAATATGTATTTATTCTGAAAACGTCTGGTGGGTTATTTTTGTAAAATTTAAAGAACGACAATCAAAATTAGAATAATAATTTGATAGACTATCCAACTGCGTATTTAATTACACAAGTAAATTAGAAAAAACAAGTTGCAAATTGTAAACATATTTATATAACCGAATAACCCTCACACCTCATTAGTACTATTAAGAATATTATTCGCCATTCCTAATCTAATTTAGAAGGTATTAGGTTAGTGTTCTGTGAAAACTGTCAAGTGCGCTATACCTAGTATTGGATTATCAGCAATCGCTCGCCATCCTTAGTGAAGTCTTGTGAATCGTGATGCATACACACGGTAACTTGACTGCTAGTTATCTTTGGCAACCGGGTGAATTTGCTCGCCGGATGCTCGGAGAACGTCCATCTCCAGTACCGCCCACAAGGGACCTCTNGTATTAGGTTAGTGTTCTGTGAAAACTGTCAAGTGCGCTATACCTAGTATTGGATTATCAGCAATCGCTCGCCATCCTTAGTGAAGTCTTGTGAATCGTGATGCATACACACGGTAACTTGACTGCTAGTTATCTTTGGCAACCGGGTGAATTTGCTCGCCGGATGCTCGGAGAACGTCCATCTCCAGTACCGCCCACAAGGGACCTCTGGCCTCCACCTCAACAGCCGCTAAGCATAAGTACCCTTCAAATCTCATATTTACAAGATGAACCGGAAATTAGGCGTTCAGCAACGCTCCCTGCTCAATCAGGTTATGCAACTAAAGAAGACGATCGACACAGACCACAGATGTGTACTATCGGCACGAACACCGATCCGCCACCAAATATGCTTGAAAGGTTGAGAATTTTATTTAAACGTCAAGAGAACGAGACAATTAACCATCATCGTGCCGGACAATTTACTATAGCTCCCAGAGAAACATCTTTTGAGGTAAAAGAAGAAAGCTCAGCTTCTAAAAAACTTAGCAGGATAAAAAAGGCACTTGCCAATGCTAAATACAAAATTGCACCTCGTAGTGAGACTATCGAGAGTCCTAAAATAGTGTACGACACGTCCAAGCCTGGTGATAGGATGAAGACAACTTTTGGTGTTCGCGACAATCGAAGAATATGCAAAATGCCTTCGCGAAGTGAATGTCTTCGAAGACTTCGTACTGTGAGCGATTGGTGTCGTCCACGATCACGTCGACCTCCTCGACGACAACCCCCAGTACCACGCTTACAAATCACTCAGGTGTGACCATTCGAGACGGCAGCCATTTAAAAATAAAGAAACTATGTATTTTATGTAAAAAAAGAATTAAATATCGGAGTGGTGTCCTCTGTTTTATATTTAACTTATGGTATGTTGAAGTCCTTGCAGAGATTTTGGCTAATAAATGTATGGCTACAATTTGTGATTAAAAGTTATAATTTGTGGGGCGTAAAAGTCTTGAGTCGTCCGAGGGGTGTGAGGGAAGCTCGGGACAGCTGGGAGGGCGGCAGTCCCGCGCCATTCGTCGTATCGTTCGTACGACGCCTATCGAACGGTACACGTCCCTGTCCCGAATTCCTATAAAATTATTCATCCCCAAATTTCATAAAATACTCCTAGTAAGAATAAAAGTACTTCGGAATCAATGTAAGAAACAGCGTTTCGATTAAGCTGTTGTAAGAATAATATTGATGCCTTTGAAGTGTGTACTATCCGCGCAACCTACTGCGCAAATTACACAAATGGAAACCAAAAACTAGACAGACCTATACGTTTTTTTTAGAAATTATTGTTGAATGAATAACAAAATGATTAAAAACAATTGAAAACAAAACAATGTTATAAGAATGTTTGTTTTTTTGTTTTTATTGTTAGCAGATTTTTTTTAACATAGCATAAGTATAAAATTAAAGATAGATATTTAACGTCGTTAGCATCAAGGTTGTATTTTACCCGACCGCCTACCGAAGGAGGAGGCTAATATTATATGAGCCATCCGTTCATTTATGTGTATATTTCTTTGGTACGCTCTATAGCTTTAATGTTGTGAAGGATATCAACTAATGAGATGTTATTTTAGATTAGTTTCAGTTGTGAGAGTGACAAAATTAGATAAAATGGGTTTCGTAAAAAAATATACATAATAATATACATATTATATAATAATTATAAAATATACATTAGTGTAGGTATTGGAGGCGGCGATAAACATAATATTATTATTTGTATGGTATTTAAACGTCATGTTTAAACGTTCATCGCCAATTTTGAGATCCGTTGATATTTAAAATCACGAACAAATTAACACACTGCCGAATTACATGACCCAGCGTTGCTCGGGTCATTTACCATAGTAAAAAGTGTCTTATGTGTTAATTCAGGCTATAAATTATATTTGTGTAAAATATCCAAATCCATTTAAGCTAATGGTTTAGGTTGTTTCACAAAAAAATAATTAAGTTTTGTATCTAAAGACTGTAGGCACTGAAAATTCATATATCCGGATTGTAATGCCTGACTTCGCACTTACCGTCACAATAAATTTATAAAAGTTATCTATCTATCTTCTTCTTCTATCTTCTATCTTCTATATATATAAAAATGAATTGCTGTTCGTGAGTCTCGCTAAAACTCGAGAACGGCTGGACCGATTTGGCTAATTTTGGTCTTGAATTATTTGTGGAAGCCCAGAGAAGGTTTAAAAGGTAGATAAATATGAAAATGCTCAGAATTAAATAAAAATAACAATATTTTTTTCCATTTGATGTGCCCCCCGTCGGACGGATTCCTTTTGTTTGTTTTAAGTTTATTTTATACAAAAGTTTAGGTCTTTTATTTCTTGATTGAGGCACTACGAAGTCTGTCGAGTCAGCTAGTAAAATAATAAAATCAATAATTTTGCTTAGAAGGAATTTACAGTTCAATCCTAGGTCGTCAAGTAATTAAATGTTTTGGCTGTATCCTTTGAATGATGAAAAACAAATGGTACAGTTCCAAAATAAAATCGACTCAAGCCCCCATTTATCTTAAATCTAATAAGCACATGATTCATCATCTTATAAGCGAGAGAGAGAGAGAGAGAGATTTGAAACGTATTCATAATCTTTGTGTAACCCGCACGATGCAGCGAAGTGTATGGATAGCACAATTATTATTTGTGTATGTTTTTCTGATCAATTTTCGGATTGAAAGAAAACAAACAAGTTAGACATTTTACACATTGTTCGACGCAACTTTTTTAACAAATGACATCAAAAATTCTTAAGTGGACAAAAAAATCTGTTTATATTAATAAAAAAATCATTGACATCTAGTGGTAGGGACTTAATTTTTGATGAATCCATTCACTTTGTGGTTAAGGATATCAGCGCCATTAAAGTGTCTGATACAGATAACTAGGTTTGCTCAGTTCCACACTCACTTCCATAAATAATTCTTAAAATTCATATCAATTAGTTTTACAACTAATTTCGATTCTCTTTCCACAAAGAGTGTCTTTTGAATGTCTGTTGCCAGTAAATTATTGTAAAGAATGAAACTTTCGATATCATCCCTGTTACGTTTATTACGTCATTGTAGGTAAAACTCATTGCTCTTTGAGGTCGTAAATATCAACGTACGACCTCATTTGATGGTTCTTTTTTAAATAAACCGGTGTGGTGGCATGGCGGCGGTGACCTATATTCAAGGAGTTTGACATGAAAAACGTTAATTATTGAGCTGCCTCCGAATGTTGTACCGACCAAGCCTTGTAAATAATTGTTGAAGGCAAGTAAATAAAGAACTACTAATACATAATTTTCTCTTTAAATGTTAACTTATATATCACTATCACTACATAGTATAAAACAAAGTCGTTTTCTCGGTCCCTATATCCCTATGTATGCTTAAATCTTTTAAACTACGCAACGGATTTTGATGCGGTTTTGTAATAGATAGAGTGATTGCAGAGGAAGGTTAATATGTATAATAACATCCATTAAATAGTGGAGAAATACTGTTATTTTTGAGGTTTCTAACCTGATGTCGTAAATAATCAATAATAAAATTTCATGTTTCCGAAGCGAAGCGAGGGCGGGTCGCTAGTATTGTAATAATTAGCGGCTATGCAATGTGAAGTATAAAACAAATAATCTATAATAATAATCCTTTATAATTTATGAAATACTTAAATATTCTATTAAATTAATAAGGGGTAATTCCCAATGCATTTTGTGTTGTGGATTGTGTTGTACGCAACAGCTCTTATGGACAAACTGTAATATATAAAATAAAACAAAAATAAAACTTTTTTGAAAGCTGTATCGAAATTTGTTGTACAATAACGATTTCAAGATTTGCTATAATTAATTTGTTGTACAATGACAATTTCAAAATTTGCTATATTGAATGCGTACTTATTGCGTAGTCAGAAAATTATCCGTTCCATGTTCGTAAATTGAGTGGAATACGTGCAATCTTTTTTTAGATAGGTACCTGACAATTATCTTTTTATCTTAACCGGATTACATAATAATTTTAATTAAATAACAATAACGTAGAGATTTTTAAATTAATTGTATATTTTTTTTAAATACGTTCACAAATAGTATAATTTATATTTATGCTTTTTGTATATATAAAATTTAAGAGCCGGACTAAAAATTAATAATACATATGCCTCTACACATTGAAGTAATTTAGTAAGCAGACGACCCCCGATTCACTTGAAACACCCATCTCCGATTGAATTGAATCTTGAAATTTGATTATGGTGCTGTGATTGTGTGCGCTAAAATCAAGGAAGCGTCTTATGTGTGATGTGGTGAAGTTTGGTGAGGTGTGAGTGCGGTGTCGTGGCGGGTGGGTAGTGAGCGCATGCAGGGGCGCGCGGGCGCAGGTCCGGGCGGGCATCGCACTCTCCCGCGCGCCCTCCCACCTCCGGTCCTGCCGCCGCCGCCACAGTTCGCTTCCGAGGAAGACGAGATGCCGGCCAATCAAATTGCACAGGTTTATCAAAATTAATTTTTTATTTATTTTTTATTGCTTAGATGGGCGGACGAGCTCACAGCCCACCTGCTGTTAAGTGGTTACTGGAGCCCATAGACATCTACGACGTAAATGCGCCACCCACCTTGAGATATAAGGTAGGACCTTTTATGAGTCCGCGCGGGTAGGTACCACCACCCCGCTTATTTCTGCCGTGAAGCAGTAATGCGTTTCGGTTTGAAGGGTGGGGCAGCCATTGTAACTATACTGTGACCTTAGAACTTATATCTCAAGGTGGCTGGCGCATTTTCTTTGTAGATGTCTATGGGCTCCAGTAACCACTTAAAACCAGGTGGACTGTGAGCTCGTCCACCCATCTAGCAATAAAAAAATATATTGAAAGAAAAAAAATGCGCTTTTGGTCGGTATTATTATATTATTTTAAATTTAATTACATTATATTATTAAATGCTTTTTTAAATGTTGGTTGCAATTTTATATGACAATAAGCAGAAATTTTAATAGTTCACATTTCTTTCGCGTTCAGTTTCTTCAATAATTCGATTAAAGAAAGACAAGATTTCGAAGGGAAATAAATCTTGAATAGAGAATTACCGACCTATTATATAGCATTCACATAAATCTTTCATTAACATCATAGACAATTTCCAATAGGCCGGTTTTCATTGTGGATTCAAGCACAGATCATCATAACATTCAATAAACCAAATATTTAATCATTGGGTTTACCATATGGCAGGCGAGCTCTGAGCAGGTGTTTTTAAAGGATGATAATAAATATAATTGGTCATCGATTCGTTGTGGAAAAACAATAAATATACGTTCCACATTTCACGACCCTGAGTCAGTATTTTCTCTTGTGTGCGTAACGGACGCATATCTACGTGCGAGATAACAAACAGGACATCCAGACGTCGAAACCCAAATTTACTTGAACTTGGATCACATGGTTCAGTGGTCACGATCATAGAAGTCTGAGTTACACAGGAAAAAGCTTTCCGTTCTTCAGATCGAAATGCCATGATTACGCAGCAGAAATACTCGGTACTTTTGTGTCCGGACTCTCAACATTCATATTACGTGGATTGCGAAGTCTCATTAAATCGAAGGAAATTGACGTATCAATAGTTTATTCAGAACGATCACAAGGTTTACGAAAAAGAAAATGCTGCAGTTAAGACACCTCGCCCTCGACAACCTGACGTACTGTTATTGAAGGGAAAGAAAACGGGAAAGTGAAAGGTGGGTGGTGTCTAGAAGTGAGGGACGGGGCGCGGGGAGTAGTCATCGATCGGAGTTCCCGACGGGACATAGAGCCGCGGGGACCGCCATCAGCTGATAGCGAAGCGCGACGATCCGTCTCCTCAAAGCAACTGTCGTCAGGGCTTGGGAATGATTCGAAAATTACCAGGTTATTATAATTCCCAAGCAGGTTTTTCGCGAACACTCACTAGGAGCGAAATCGATACGTGAACACTATATTCGCCGGGATTAACCAGGTTAATTTCAAACGATTTGGGGGCGGGGCATCCCGGCACTTTTCAAGACAAGTTAGTTCTTGAGTTGATACGAAAACTTTTCGTATCTCTAAACTGATACGTCTAGAGTGCCCGCTACCCTTGCAGCACGGTGGTTTGCAATTCTAGCATTCTCGAAGAATGTGACTTCGTCTTTCTCGAACTGCTTCTCTCTCCCGCTAATCCGTCCAACCTATTTTTTAAACAAAGCAAAGTAATTATTCGTTCTGATTGAATAGTTTCCACGGCCGCCACCTATTGACTCAAATTGCACGGTGACATTAACGTTGTGTGGTTTATGTCAATATTGCGGTAACCGCTTAAGGACCAGTAGGCCGTGAGGTCATCTGCTGTCCACGTATACAGCAAAAAATCTTATTATAGAATTATAAATTTTACTAGGATTCTTTTATTCATTAATCGTGACAAACCGGAAATGTTTACTATCGAGGGGGACATAATATATGAGTCACATAATAATATGGTGATAGAATTGTTGACCTTGGCTGTTCCGTAATATGATTCGATGACGAATGATGAATAATTATGTACACCAAGAAAAAAAAATTAGGTACAGTTATAATTATATTTCTTTTGTTTTAACTCAGTTTTTACAGCTAATATTATGTAATTAAGCTGAATGTAGCATTATCTATTTAGCTATCATTCTTTATTCAAAGTTGTTTATCTTTCGTTGTCTACAATAGACATGCTAGATAATAATATATTAGCACATTTTTAAAACTGTAAATAGAAAAATATATCTTTAAAAACCAACTATATTTCATGCTTGGACTACTTTATCTACTTCTTTTCTACATGATACATTTAACTTAAAAAAAAATACACAAATATAACGTTTTATGAATATATAGCTCCATTCAAAATAATATCTATTCCCATTATTTCATTCCTTTGAAGTTGTGGCCAGTTATCGATTGAGACGCACTTTTTCTATAGGACGGCTCGCTACTGAAATCTAAAGGAACATTTTAGGTTGTCCAAATTTTCATGGCGCTAAGAGCATTATATAAATAATACTTTCTAAATGACTAAATGAAATGATCTTCAGTTATGATAAATTCAGAACAGTTCCTTTTCAACCACGCCTTTTTTTCTTTTTTTTATTGCTTAGATGGATGGACTAGCTCACAGCCCTCCTGGTGTTATGTGGTTATTGGAGCCCATAGATATCTATAACCTAAATGCGCCACCCACCTTGAGATATAAGTTCTAAGGTCTCAGTATAGTAACAACAGCTGCCCCACCTTTCAAACCGAAACGCATTACTGCTTCACGGAAAAAGTAGGCAGGGTGGTGGTACCTACCCGTGCGGACCCACAAAAGGCCCTACCACCACTAAAACGCTTATATGGCCTCAGCTACCAAACTATCACTAAAATCGCATAATATCCACTTTGTACCCCACTGCTAATAATTGAAAAGCTCCTGTAGAATTCTGAGAATAAACTTCGTCCATTTTGTTGATTTAAATGTTGCTCTAATAGCAAACTCTTTCATGTTAGTATTTTTTTTCTTTGACCAAATTAACATTAGTCACTCCTTTCTCTTCCAAACGGATCAATGGTGTCATAGCTGTCATATAGAATACCGGATGGCACATCCCTATTAAGATGCAAAACAATAAGCTAGCAATCGATCTCCAAGAATAAAATAATCAAAAAGAAATGGTAATAAATCCAAATACAAAAAATTATTGCAATTTTATATGATTTAAACATCATATTATAAATTCTAATACTTATCATCAATCACACGCACGGATGATGTCAGATGTGATGTGTCAGATTTTTCAGCCATGTTATATGGTTCAATTATATGCTAACTTTACAGCAGTCATTCGTCAGTCGAAGCAGATCGCCGTTGCCAAAAAACGGCATTGCATCATTATAATATTTCCACAATTTTTACCAACAGAATGAATTACTGTTTCGTGGCAGTAATAGGCAGTGTGATAGGCATAGGTAGGTACGTATCCGTGAGACCTCAAAGAACGCGCCCTTTACTAGAGCGAAGTTTTTTGAGGTCGTAGTTTTCCTATTAATATTTTAACTGGGCAAAACAGCACGCAAGACTGATTTCCTAAAAAAAAACAATTGTTATTTTTATTGTTGTACGTAGGCTAGTCTAGCTTACAGCTCACTGAATTTGAATGAAAGTTTGTTTTTATGACCTACAACCTTAACTACATGAATTTAAATATTAGATAAAATATTTGGAATGCGTATAATGTAACCGAACGACATAGAACTCATGACCTTGTCTTTATTTCAATTATAAATTGTATTTGTATATTTTTTTACCTATTTTAGTGACCTCGAAGGGTCATAGTAGACCGAACGTGTATGTGAGTATGTGGGGTTCTAACTTGGTAACATTGATAACACTAGCCGTAGCAAGTACAGAGCTTCGCAGAATCTACCATCGGATCGGAAACGCGACCCACTCAGAAATTCCGGCGAGAAACTCAGTGGACTGTGTGTTGAGGGTTAAGATTTTCTGTAAAATTTACGTTTAACCAACACATAACCCAACACATATATAGTAATGATGTAGCTGTGAAAAATCTATCATATAGAAACTTTCTTAATTTATTCTAGGTAATCGCGCTAATATGTGGCTTGCTGGTTGTAATCCTGATGGTGCTTGGACTGGCATCAGCGGACTGGCTAATGGCGGCCGGCTGGCGTCAGGGGCTTTTTATGCACTGCATCGACCCAATCGCACCAACACCCTTGCCCTTCGACATTATAGCTCAGCCGGGATGCTACGCCGCGAGACCAGCCCCATACATCAAGTCAGTATAGCGAATTATGAATATGATGTCGAGAAATAGAAACGCAGCACAGATTTGAAAGCATCGTGCCCTAAAAGATAAGACGACTGGTAGATGTATATTGAGGTCGCGATGCGACTGAGCCGGTTTTCGAATCCCGCAGGCACGTACTAATTTTTGTAATGAAATACGTACATAACAAATGTTCACGAATGAATTCCACGAATAACATGGTGTAAAAAATCAAATCCGCAACAATTATAATGTTGTGTAATATTGTGCAATTAATTACTAGTGGTAGGGCGTCTTGTGAGTCCGCACGGGTGAGTAACATCACTCTGCCTACTTCTGCCTTGAAGCAGTAAAGCGTTTCGGTTTGAAGGGTGGGGCAGCCGTCGTAACTATACTTGAGACCTTAGAATTCATATCTCAAGGTGGGTGGCGCATTTATATTGTAGATGTCCTCCAGTATGTATATTGTTGCGCATTTATATTGTATTGTGTATGGGCTCCAGTAACCACTTAACACCAGGTGGGCTGTGAGCTCTCAGAATAGTTACATTTTGCACAGAATAGTCACAATAGTTTTATTTTATGTAACAAATTAAGTTTGTTTGGTTTATATTTTATTTGTTAGTTGAGTTGAGGTTTTACGTGTGACTTTGGACAGGGCCGCGGCTGGTTTGTGCGTGGCGACGCTAGCGGCGGATGTGTGCGGGGCTCTGTTGACCGGGCTCGGACTGCGCTCCACTGATCACCGCACTAAGTTTCGGTACTACCGTTTCGCAGTGCTCGCTATGGCCCTTGCACGTACGTATCCACGTATACACGGCTTACGATATCAATATCTATAGGCGACAACACATTTATAATAGTTCGTGTTCGATCAGTGGTTCTCAACTTTTTGTTTGTCAAAACACACATTGAGCGACTTAAAAATTTTGACGGCACACAAAGAAAAATATATGCCTAGAAGCCTTGTTTTCTGACGTATAACACATCGTGTGAAATAGTACCATTATAACTTTGCCTATAAAATGTGATACACAAAATTGTCGACCTAATGCTTGAGAATCACTGACCTAAATTCTACGTCATGATTTACTAATTTTCATGATGAATATACATATACCAACCAGATAAAAAAGCAATCAATAAATATTACCTAAGCCATTTTAAGTTTAATTAAAATTTTTCATTTCAATTTTTAACTACTTAAGAAAATCTAATAATTATAAATGTTTTAAATACACTATATTGCCTGGTATAATATGTGTTTAGATGTGTTTGTAAAATAAGACCCGTTCGATATTTCATTGGATGTGGGTGAAATTCAGTAGGCAGCGGCTTGGCTAGTAGGCAGCGGCTTGGTAGTAGGCAGCGGCTTGGCTCTGCTCCTGGCATTGCTGAAGTCCATGGGCGACGGTAACCACTTACCATCAGGTGGGCCGTACGCTCGTCTGCCTACAAAGGCAATAAAAAAAAAAAAAAAATCGATTCTTTAAATTTCATTGCTCAGGATTCACAGAAATGTTCTTAAAAATTATAATGAATTAGTGAAAGTTTATTGGTAATGGAAGACACAAGGCAGCGTACCGATTACTAGTTTAGGGACTATTATTTCATTAATAAAGCCGTTTGAACTAAATGCGCAGAGAAAACAAAAAAAAAAAACAAAGAGGAAACAATAAAAAATTAATGCGGCTCACTGGCATCCTTAGAGATTTTCTTGAACAAGATAGTGCTTCCGTTTCTAAGTAATAAATGAGTCGTCTATTATCAAAGGTGGCAATCTGTGCATTTGGACAAAAAAAAATTATTGATATGTCAATACAGATTGATTTGAATATAATCGTCTCCTTCAAAGAATACGGTTCAAAACCTGCATTAAATAGTTAACCTGTTATTTATCTAAGATATCGTTCCGAAGAGTTTTGTGACTGCCAATGGAATACAAAGTCAATAATTCGTTTTTCTGATTTACCAATCATTGTCCAAAAGTCAGATTGCCGGCTTTGATAATAGTCGACTCAAATATAGAATGAAGTGTAAAAGAAACTAGGGAAATTCTAATTCCAACCCTTATATTTATTTGGGTTATTAATTTAAGTAATAATCCATAATAGCTGAATAATCAGAATTCTGGTTGATTCAGATAGATGTATATTATTACTAAACAGTTAATTTCGAACGGATTGAATCCGGAGGGCTGATATTTTTACTGAAATCGATAATAATGTTATTTAATTTTGATCACTTTGCATTTTTCGCGGTCACGGACGACTTAAGTTTTGATCGTAAAACATAGTCAGTTTTAATTATTTGTACGACTTGCGAAATGCGTGTGTTACTAATTATCTGTTTTATATTTTCAGTGATGTGCATTTTGATAGCATTAGTCATCTACCCGGTTTGCTTTGCGGCCGAATTAAATCTGGGTAAGCGAATTCCGTTTTATTTTAAAATTTTCTTTCAATTGTAATATTCTAAAGATATGGTGTGGTAAGGTATTTTTAATAAATGTATGATATTTTCTTTTCGTATTTTTATATAATGTAAAATTATTAACGTGCCTTTAAAAGAAAATGAACACTAAATGAATACAAAACAAAAAAGACGATCTCGCTTTGTTTATTTGTTAATATTAACAAAAAAAAAAAATGTGATGTTAAATTTTGTAATTTAGTGCTCTGAGGATTTCTAGGAGACAATCCCGTCTTCGTTTTTTTCCCTACCTATTCTAGTAACTTCTAGGGGTTATTCTAGGATTCACTGAACTAGAAGGTGAGCTCGCCGGTCTCAAACTGACGTTGTTGCTAACATGAACCCTAGTAAGAGCCGTGCCTCGCAGAATCTACCACCGGATCGGAAACGCGACCCACTGACAAGATCCGGCGAGAAATTCAGTGGACTGTGTCTGAGGGTTAATTTACTCGTCGAGCCCTTCGTCGCAAGCGACGGGGCCGACGAGAACGATGACCGGTGCTTGAGGTACCTATAAGCACCGTTAGTGGATCGGGAGGATCCGTAATGACGTGTTTTGGGCGACGTCGACTGTTTACCATTCGGTCCGCAATATCGGAAATTTATCCGCCGCACCGCTTCCCACCAGAGCGGTGTTTATTCATACTACCTAGAACCTCTGCTTTCATTCATTTATCTTACCACAATATATTATGCCAAGTATGGCAAGAGGATGTCCCCTTCAGAGATTTTTTTTATGTTTTTTTCTTACCTATGCTGATAGCCTTGAGAGGCTATTTCAGCTTCTGCTTGACGTGTAGAAGAGCTCACGGGGCTCAAACCGGGTTGTTGTTAACACTGGCCCTAGCAAAGGCAGTGCTTCGCAGAATCTACCACCGGATCGGAAACGCGACCCACTGAGGAGATCCGACGAGAAACTCAGTGGGCTATGTAATAATGTTATGTTACAGGTAACCGGTCAGTATGGGAGTTCGGTTGGGCGTACGGAGTGGGGTGGGGAGCCGCCATATTCCTGTTCGGGGCCGTAGTGCTTCTGCTCTGCGACAAGGAGAGCGAGGAGCTTTATTATAAGGAACGGAAAGTACGTATCAACCAGCTAATAACGTCCGTATTAGAAGTATACGTGTGAAAAGTTAAGCGCTTGAAATGAGACCGTCAGCGCTAAAATGGCCTAAGCTTACCATAGTCAGTATGGAGGCAATTAAGTTTGAATCTTCATGAATTTTAATTTAAGTAGGCAAAAAAAAACAATACGCGCAAAAATAACGTTTACAAAGCTATCTGTTATCTATGGGTGAAACTATGGATAGGCCAGGCCGGTTTTGCATCAAAATTTATTATATTTTAAACTAGCGACCCGTCCTCGTTTCGCTCCGGAAACTGTAATTTATTATTGGTTTCTCCACTATTTAATGGATGTTATTATACATATAAACCTTCCTCTTCAATCACTCTATCTATTAAAAAAACCGCATCAAAATCCGTTGCGGAGTTTTAAAAATTTAAGCATACATAGGGATATAGGGACAGAGTAAGCGACTTTGTTTTATACTATGTAGTGATAAATTCTAATATACGTCATATAAGCTTAAATATAAATAATTGGGGGTTAGGCCACTTTTGCACCGATGGTCTCAAATATGAATAAAAAAAAATTAAAAAATGAATAGAAAGTTTTTTAGTAACTTAAATATTTGTATGGCCGTACGACCCGTCGGAAATATCTGCGCATCCGGTTGAAATGCGCTTCCCCACGCCTAACTAGTACCATTGCCAACGTAAGCGTCGACGCACGTGTATTATTCTTGCTTTCGTAATCTCATTCTTGTTTATGGTTTCTCTGTTCACTCTGTTTCAAATTAAGAACTACCTATTTAGTATTTTATTGTAAGATGGGTAGGACTATAAATAGTGCAGAGCGGAATTTAGTAGACACAAGAAAAGAAACGTACTTTAAAAAAAGTTGAGAATAGCCAAACAGGAACTCAACCTGTCCGGCCAAAAAGACGCCCTAAGAAACATACTAATAAATTTTTTGGGTTACATACAGGCTTAAAAAATTTAAACGAAAACGCATTTTTTTTTGCTATCTCTCTAGTTTGCATGACGTCATTAAGCCAGGTTCGCAGATATTTCCGACGGGTTAAACTGTATTGAAAGCGAAGCGTCTCTTATTTATATGAGATCTGATCTTAAATTGATACCGTCAGCGTATATTGCAATTTATTTAAAACAATACATTTTGATGCAAAAACGGTTTATCCCTAGTTTCACACATAGGTAATAGATGGCTTTGTAAACATTGATTTTGCGCGAATTGTTTTTGGCTACGTAGCCATGTGAAAGTAAATTCATAATCTAATTATGGTAAGCTTAGGTCACTTTTACGCTGACGGCCTCAATTAATACCTATAATGGTATAAGAGAAATGTGAAGTGTTCACATTGTCTTCGTCAGCGTTTGTGTGTAAATATGTAATTAATTGATCAGGTGGTGAGCGTGGAGGGCGGCGGACGCCCCTAGGGTTGCGGGCGCCTGCCCGACCTCGTGCCGTGAGCGCGCGTCTAGTGCGCACGCACACGCGCGCCCGTGACGCGGCTCGACGCACACGCACACACGCACGCCACGCCGCGCGGCCGACGCACGCGATCCCATAGCCTTTTGAACGACATTGCCGCCTGTACTCTACCACTGAACAAATGCCATAGATACTAAGGATCCTATTAAAAAAAAAACAGATTAACTTTATGTCGAAATTTAAACTTTTTAGTATTTTGATTTAATTTGTTAACATGGAGCGCACTAACGCCGTGTCATTCAAAAGGTATAAAGCAGTCGCTTCGTCACTGAAGTACTACTATATTATTATTAGTATTATTATTGCCGATCGAAATGTTTAACCCTGGATTTTTTAAGAATTATTTTGATATGCGCTTCCGCTGAATTTATCGGTTTAAAGCGAAGATACGAATTCCGTCGTGTTGAGTACATTGGGCTCGTCTCATCGTGTTGCGGATTTCTGAAAGCGATTGTCACGAAAGATCTGATTCGAGTAAAGAAAATTAATGTTAGTTTTTGAATGTGTAGTTTTTTTGTGAGGAAAATTAATAGAAGGTTTTGGACGACGTCTGTTCTGCTTGTTATAATTTGTAAATAAAAAATCAATAGGCTGAGTTTACGCACAACAATTGTTTGTCTGGAAAGTGTTGAGCGCAGTGAATTTGCTCGGGCATATCCACAACAATCTGTTTACAATTCTAGTTCTAAATAATTATACAATTTTTCTAACATGTCAGAGCTATTGTGAATAAACTGTTGCAGGGATAAATTGAATGAAGCTTTGATTAAGTAAAGTTCACGTCTCGCGGCTGAGAAATTGAGTTTTGCAGCATAAAGTCTGATTATAATAAATTATTGCAAATCAGACGGTTAACCCAAAGCGTTTATGGTTGGTAGATATGTGTTTATTCGTAGTTAATTTGCTTAATTTATTTATGTACTGATATCGTTTTTAGTCGTTTATTAGTTTGTGTTAGAGGATATATATTTAAAAACAAAACAAAAAAAAAGTGTAGCTATAAAAGGACCTTTATGAAGTGAGAGTAACACTTTGTGGGGTCGCCTTTTGTGAATTTGTGTATTTTTGATTTTTCTATAAACTTCACTGTTAGATTTTGAAAAGATTTTGTTTTGTTTGCAAACGTTACCGATCTGTGTATCGAATTATGGAGGGAACGTGTCCAAGGTCATTGCATCAGAGGTGATAACAGCATACAATTGATTTTTATATAAACTTCACTGTTGGATTTTAAAAAGATTTTGTTTTGTTTGCAAACGTTACCGATCTGTGTATCGAAACATGGAGGGAACGTGTCCAAGGTCGTTGCATTAGAGGTGATATTACAACCATTGAAATGAGCAAGGATAGTGCGGCTGGTACGAACTACATTGAGTCCACGATGCGTCTCGGACACGCTCCTGTCCGCGTGTCCAGAGAAGGCAGCTTGTCTCTGGTCGCGTTGCGGCGAGTGCGTCGCGTCGGCGGCGTCGGTGTGTGCGTGTGAGTGCGTGCGAGTGCGTGCGTGTGCGTGCGGGCTCGAGTGGCATCGGGCAGGCGACCCTAATAACCGCTCGCTCTACTCTATACCTGCAATAACGAACTGTGTTTTAGTGTAGTGTAAAGTGAAAGACCGGACCTATGACCGAGTGAATTAATGTTGTAATAATGTACGGGCTACGATAACTGAGACGTGTCGATCGCCGAAGTTACCTTTCGATGTGTAATTTAAATCGATGTTCGAAATCGATTCGCGGACGGGCTATTCGGAATATTAATTATCTGAAATGTGAATCGATATTAAAATCAACATTTTCGGATGCCCTATTTTCGATCGATTTCAACATAAGTATAAACGTATAGAATAGAATCAATCGATATTATATTCCGCAATAGATATTACTCTGTAAAATTATTTCTATGTATGTAGTCAGAGCTAGGTACTCGATTATCTGCGAGCAGAGTTGAACCTCAATTGTTTTCAGGAATTTAAAATCTAAAAAAATTGCATGATACTTTCTTAACGATTGTCATACATTATAACCGCATTAATGTAATTAATCTCAAATATAGTAAGTAGTTATAATACAGCGGTATATTATTATGTACGTTTAAGTAAGTCTAAATCATCATAGTTGCTGTAGTCATTAGAATGATAAATGGTTTTCGGACATGATGAATTTATTAGTGATTCAATTTATTCTGTACTACTACTATAATATTAGATGTTTGTGTAATCTCTCATTAAGGCTTTAAATAATTTACATTTTAATTTATAATAATTATTTACATTTTTACAAAAACTTAATGTTAAACTATAACTATATAGCTCCTAATAATTACACGGCAACTATTGGAATCCTCACCTTACGTTTAGGAATTTTAAAATTTGATTTAAGAATGAATATTTTACTTATATATCTAAATTATATGTAATCTGTAGTTTTTAAGAATTTGTAACAAAACTAAATGATACAATTTATCAGAACTCGTTGAATGAAAAAAAAACTATATAAATAGATTAGAAATGATTTTCTTTATTAATAAGCTACATAGCAGTATTATGTTATAACGTACGTAATAATGTGTGATACCTCAATTTTTATGTTTAATATTATTTTCTATTATGCTCTTTCTTTCATTTTATATTAGGTATCGCTCTGTGTCAAGTCAAAAATTATGCATATTTCCCCACTAAACTACACCACTGCCATGAGTTATAAGTTATTTTAAAGTGATATTTTATTTTCATTATTAGGCTAATTTATTGGAAATAGTTTTAAAATATGAGGAAATTTATAATCCTGTTAGCTACTTACGTATGGGCAACTAAGGCACTTTAGTCAGTAATGTTATTGTCTAATCAATGTATTTATTCCGAAACCACTTTCTAATAAAATATAAAAATAGTCATAGTATGACGAAGTACAAGATTTTGCGATACGAAAATGTTGTATATTTAAAACATACAGTACAAAGTTATTTATTTTATTATTATTGATTGCGCAGACAGGTGATCTAGCTCACGACCCCCTTAGTCTTACGTGATCGCCGATGTTCATAGACATCGTATAAAGTAAATTGAGACATGAGGTGCAAGTAAGTCGCTATTGTATAATGGCTGTCTCACACTTCGCTGCCAGGGTCCTTGGTGCGAGTATTTTAACGTTATTGATAGCGTAAAAGTTAAGTCAAATTTGTATGGAGTTTGAACGTTTGTCTACGTTTGCCGCTAGGGGCGCTGTTCCAAATGTATACAAAGAGTAACTTTTACCCTATCGAGAACGTTATAAAACTCACATTAAGCACATAGAACGTATTTCTACTTTGCATCAGAAATAGGTAGGTGATCGTGAAGCAAACTCGTATAGGCTTACACTACGCCCTAATTAGTCTATGCTGATTGGTTATTGTAGTATCTCGGTATAATAATACTCTGGGAACGTTGTCTGCTCATTCTCCAGTGAATCCGGAAAGTTTTTCAATCTTGCTAATAACTAAAGATAAATGTATAACAAGAGGTGTTTTTTTTATATTATTGTTGTTCGAACATTGTGAAAATTAAATATCCATAGTAATAAGTCAATTGTTGTCAGTGTTAAAATTGTTGCCCAATTAGATCTGAAATCAAGCTATACGTTTCCTTAGCCAAATATGAGTCATATCAAACGAGATTGAATAAATTAATTAGTACATAAATGCATTTTCATTTCAAAAGTATGACAAATTTTAAGTTTAATGTATACTCCATTATATATTATTAATGGTATAGTATTAGAATAATCTAAAAGATAAGATTATTCGAACTATTCTACTTTTCTGGTACTGTTTTTTATGGCAATACGTAAATAATCCATTTTCACGATTGATTTCAAAGATAACATCGTGTAATAAAACTCAAAAGGCCAAAAACTACAATTTGAGTAATTTATGGTTGTAAAATGTGTAGTAATATCACACGGGCTACTTGTTTTAACCGTAAATAGGGACTTTTTTGGTTTTAAGAGTGGGACAGCCGTCATAAAGTAAAATTGAGATTTCTTTTATTGCTAAGAAGATTGGATGAGCTCACGGCCGGTATCTGGCGTTAAATGATGTCTGGAACCCATAACAGCCTATGTCTTTTTTATTGCCCTTGTAGGCAGACGAGCACACGGCCCATCTGATGGTGAGTGGTTACCGTCGCCCATGGACTTCAGTAATTCCAGGGACAGAGCCAAGCCGCTGCCTAGTCTTGCTTTTTCAGTACAACGGCTGCCCCACCTTTATACAAACAGAAACGCATTACTGCTTAACGGCAGAAATAGGCTGGGGTGGTGATATCTACCTGTTAGGGCACACAAGGCGCCTTAACTGTAATAAAAAAATTTCCTGCCTACGAAATTCGAACACCGACACAGTCGCAAAGCATACGAATGCGCTGGCAGTCTTATTCCGAAGGCTATGATAACTCAGACCTCATGTCTCAATGCAAGTAGTGGTATTCTCATTATGCTATCTATCGGGTACGGTAATACTTAACATTAGATGGGCTGTGAGAACATAAAAAAAAGTTTCATCTATTTTAATACTCATTTTTCATAAATACCGAAAACCATAAAGCACTTTGTAATCTGAGCGAAAACCTTCAAAATAGGAGCGAAATTTTGTTATATTTTAATGAATACTATTATTTTTAGCATTAATTTTAATAAAAATAACAATTAGTATATTATAATGTTCATAATAAGTTGCGTACACTTTACAATAATTTTAGTAATAAGGCATGATTTCAAATCGTAACGTTATACATTTTTTGGCTGTGTTCTAATTTAAATGAACAGGAAGTTTAATGTTTCGTTAACAGCTGACAATATTAATTTTTGTTTGAATAATAAAAATTGAAAAAAATATGAATATAATTATTAAACTTGTACTCCAGTGGCCGTTTTTATGTTCTTGAGAAGTCTGGCAATACCGTCCTTATAGTCGACGGGTTGTACGTTAACTACGGTCGTCTTCAGCCTGGATTCATCCTACAACACGACATAAGAACGTTATTTGATTTACTTGTTTTAAATATAATATGGGATCAGTTGTTAGATCTTCCTTCCCCCATCTGTTTACTAGACGGAAACTATAATTTATCAAGTATATTACGATTGTATTATCAATCAAACTATGGTATGACTAGACTTAATAAAAACAATCATTATTTTATGTGGTTAACTATTTTATCAAATAAATTTATTAGAAATTTACATTAAAAAGGAAAATAGGAAAAATGCAAAAGTTGTATNGTAATCTAACGGATTCAAATCTGGACTGGAGGAGGGCCAGTCTTCGTGCCGGATGAAGTCGATTTCACGCGCCGCCAGCCAGTCTTGTGTGCTCTTCGCTCTATGAGCTGACGCCGAATCTTGTTGGAATACCCAGTGCCTGTTATTGAACATGGTATGAGAAACAGGTTCCACAAGGTTCGTCAGGACTGTATTTTGACACACAACTGCATTCGTTTTTACACCTTTCTCACAAAAATGTACCTCTGTTAAGCTCCAATAAGAAACTCCCAACCATACCATGAGCGAGGATGGAAAATGACCTCGTTGGACACGCGGAATTCGGTTGCTCGCTTCTTCACTACTG